CAAATAAAAAAACCCCCAAAACAAAAGCAACTAAAAAACCAAACCATAATACTTAATAAGTATGTTTTTTAAACTTAGAGATTATATTCCCTCTATGGTTTGTTTACACACTGCTAACACTGTCCTTTTTAATACTAAAAATACTATAATGCTTGCCTGTTTACATGAGGGTAGAGGAAAGGGTTCTCGCACTCGGTGGCCCTGTTTTTCCATTCTCCAAGGCCTTACCACATACATGGTGTCATTTCTGCAAGTACCATCATCACATTTGAGGGAAGGCATTAGAATCATAGAATGGTTTGGGTTGGAAGGAGACTTTGAAGGTCACCTACTTCCAACCCTCCTGCCATAGGCATGGACACCTTCAACTAGGCCAGGTTGCTCAGAGCCCCATCCAACCTGGCCTTGAACATGTCCAGCGTGTTTATTCTCATACTCATTTCAAGAATGATCTTGTATATTACATTGGTTCTCAGCCCCTTTCCAATTGTCACTTTAATTTTGCATAAAAAGGTTAAGGGTACCTCTTCCCATTTAACCATAAAAAAGGCTGGACGGAAACACCAGTCTGAAAACTGTGGTCAAAAAAAACAAAAATGTTGAACACAGACCATACTACAGAGCTGCCAGCAAAACTGTTTCTTTTACCAGCTTGGAATGACTTTTATATGGGATATTTCAAGGTTTAATGTTACTTCTATTTGCAGTTAGATTACTTTGAAATAAAGCTTTAAAATTAAATGTACTGCGAGCGACACTTTAAAGATTTTATAACAGGTTCAGTAGATCATATTATAGAACCATGTCCTTTTTTAATGACTTAGCATGAATAGTAACTTTTTAGTATTTGCCTCTTGCTGTTTTACCCCATATTATGGCATTGTCTTGAAAGTCCAGCAAATGTTGCTCCACTGATTTTTGTAGCACTTGGCTTTCTGCTGTTGATTTACATGAAACCAATTGATTGCAGGAAAATATTGATCTGAGTGTCCTGAGATCGGGTTGAGAGGATTGATGATTCAAGGACAGCTTGAGATACATGTCTAAAATCCTTACTTTTGCATGGCACAGGTGAAACAGTTGTCTTGTGGTGTTTTTCTTGAACTCAGTTTATTGCCCTTTGTCCAACTTCTAATCACCAATTCAGGTACTGGGTGGGGGGGGTGGGAATCACTTAAACCATCTTTCTCAGGCTCAGCTTAAGTCCTTAGGTCTAACACCTCTTCTCCCTGCCTTTGTATTCTCAGTTTCCCTTGCTTTCACCAAGAGTTGTATTCAGTTCCTGCCATTTCTGTTAGTAAGGTGACACGTCACAGAGGAGGTTGGGGTCATGTGCACACTTCCTTGTCTGATGCTTTGCATTTCTTAGTGGGGGTCCTCTGGTGCTTTGGCCTGGTCAGTGTCACTATTCATGGTGACACTGGGCCACAGTCCCTTCAGAGATGTGTCTGTTCCAGCTTGGTTCTTCTGTGGAACTCAGTTATTTCAGAGGTGTACCTGCTCTGGCAGGGCTTAGCGGTAGGCCAAAGTCATCTTAGAGGTGAATCTCCTCAGGCAGGGAGTGTGTCCTTCTGTGAGTGTGTCTATACATGTTCTCAGTGACTTCTTCAGGTGTTTTCCCAAGAGCAGCTCTTCAGTTTCTCTACCTGTACCCAGGAGTATCTTCTCCATGTGTCTCCCTGCACTTCTTGCTAGCAGCTGCCACTCTTCCTTAAGTATATTTAAGCAGAATCATTATGTGCACCTCTGGTTGAGATTTTGGCTTGCATCCATTTTTTGTGCACACTGAACTTCTTTTGACTAGTGCGGGGCCGCCTGCAAACGCTAGCCATGTGTCACCCCTGCAGTCCCTGCCACTGGTGGCCAGTGCAGTTGAACATAGCAAGCCAAGATATACAGATGCAGCTTCTGTCAAGCTTCTGATCTTTGCTAATGGAGTGGTCTTGTTCAAGGTATGGAAAATTATTTCTTATTTGTGGGGAGGAGGGAAGCAATCCATATATATATATATATATATGTATATATATAATATGACTGCATATGTATATGATGAATTTCATTAATCTTTCCGTATGCCTCATTACCTTTGATGATGTGGCTGTTGGCTGTAGTAAAGTGAGTGTCTTCTGAAAACCAGAAATATTGTATACCCAGGTGGCTTTCAGACTTTCCTGCTGCTTCAAAGCCATTGTCCTAGCAGTGGTAAGAAGACTTAATGATACTACAGCTAAGTTCCTTTTCATTCCATTTTGTAACTATGATGTTAATTACCATGGAATCTGTGTAACTGCCATTCTGAAAAATTCAACTGTTAGCAGGGTTAAAATCTGCTTAGGTGTATATTGAACCCTTTTGAGAGAGAAAGTTCCTATTTCACACACCAGTGTTGGTTTGCAGAATGCTTTTTTGTTGTTTCATTTTTTAAACTTTCCTTGTTAGTTTTATGGGTGAGGAGATAGACCCTAGAAGATCTTGTCAGTACAGTTTTTGGTCATAGCTTTTTTCATCTGAGGTGTGTCTGAGCTTGAGAAACTCTCCCGTATCATAAGCAAGGCAGATGATCAAAGGCTGATGTGTTGAGTGTTCCAGTATTATTGATCGTGAAAGAATGGAGGCATATCAGGGTTTGTAATCTCAATACTTTTGCCTGGGTGCCGGCAAGATGACTGTCTCTGAATTATGAGAGCCCACAGCAGTACATTCCGTGTTTTGCTATAACAGAATTAGGACCTTTCTCAAAGCAACAAAGGAAAGTTAGGGTTTTTTTGTCTTTTAAATGCTTCATTGGGTAGCTTGGCTTCTTTAGCTATTAGCTGTAAACTGTCAGTGGCCTAGGGGAAGATGCTGGAAAAGAAGATGGTATATTTTTAATGTGATTAAATTGCAAGTTCTGATTTTTGCTTGAAGCCTGTGTCTGTCGATTGCTGCTCCTTTTTTTTATTCATGGGATTCCATATTTCTTTCAGAAATGTAACTGTTTATGCAAGTCAAGTGAATCTTCCTTAATGAGCTATAAGTTTTTATTCTAAACAAGTCATTTATAATAGTAAATTTGCATATCTTGATATTTTGTGAGATGTTATGCCTGTATTGCAGAGGTTGGATAGTTTTGTCTATAAATATTGCTGTCCTAATTGTACAGCATGGATTTAATTTAATTTTACTGTTCAATATTTTCTTCTTATAGAAGAGTCCCATGCCCCTTTTTTTCTATAACATGTTTTAATAAATGTTATCTGTCAACTTTGTAAATGTTTTCTTAAGCTTGAATGAAAGGAATGCATGTCTAGTACTAGTATTTAATATTTCACTTTGCCAAAATAAGTGCTCAAAATACAAATTCCAAAAGTTGTTGATATATAACTTTATTAAATATATTAAAAAGTGTATCTAGTAATGTGTCTTCTTGAAATAATGATAACATGTCAGCCTAGTCTAAGAAAACATTAAACTAAGACCTAATTTTTATGACACAGTAAGTTTGATGAATTTGTGGAATTAGACCCATTTGTTTGCTGCTTTAGGTAATTGGCTTCCATGCTAGTTCAAATTTGTCAAACAGGTTTTGCTGTAACTGTTTTTTACAGAATGGTGATCTCTGAAGTTACAATGGAGAATGTACATGCTGATAGGAAAATTCCAGAACACTCACTTCATAGTAGCAGCAACCACATGTCCGAAAGGCCTCTTGGTACAGTTGAAGTAGGTACAGATAACACAGATTTTTTTTTCTTGTCTAAGTATGAAGGAAATTTCATGCTGTGAAAAGTACTAAAGATTAAGTTCCCCTTACCTTCCTGTGAGGCTTCTTTCTCTCCTTGACTAAAATTAGGTACTTATACTGAACACTTGATTTTGTCCAGCCTCCATCTGCTCAGTCCTTGCAGAACTGTCCCAGCCGCTGCTTACTACATAAGCAAAAAATGAGCTTGCTCTCATTGAAAGCATGTTCAGTCAATACCCGGAGAAGTCAATATTTATGTAACACACTCAGTCTTCAGCAAATTCAAATGGAATATGGTACAAGAAAATTAATTTTCTATTTTGGTTACACTTACTGAACACGGAATAATGAGCCCAATGTTTTCTGCCCGTTCAGAATTAGTTGTTTGAGTGCTTTTTCTCTGAGTGAACAAATACAGTTTGTGTTTGTGTCCTTTAACTCTGTTATTTGTGTCCTGGCCAGGATGCTTCCCAGACCACTGCTTTATTTGATCAGCATTCCATGCCTTATGTATGAAGATTCTGTTCTGTGTCTTAAAGGGAGAGAAAGACATACCTCCAGAAGACAGAATGTGGTGTCTGGTTAGACCGGGTGGATATCGCAGCAGGACCTACTGGCACCAGTCACTCTGACTGTTTTCAAGTAGTACATGATAACCAGTACATGAACTGTCTGGTTCATAAACTGAATCGTTGCACTACCTGACCTACAAGCAAATGCAGGATAAGACAAAAAAAAAGTTAGCACATGCTTGCTGAAGTGATTTCTGTGAGTGACAAGGCCAGTATAAGACAGGTGAACGTCTTAATTCTTTGCTCAATAAAGGTGTCAGTTAACAGCTGGAGTGGGGGATGTCCTCCCCCAAAAGCTCCCTCGCTGTATCTGCGATTGCCCATCGGGGTATGGCTCTGGGTTCTCGTCTGGAGTGGCACACCGTGAGAGTTCTCGGAAGAGCTCTGCCCACGTACGGCCCGGCTCCAGCCAATGCTCAAAGCCTTCTGCCTTCGTGAGGAGTCGCGCTGCGAGGGCGGCTCCGCCCTACTCCGGCGGGGGGGAGCGCCCGGGCTCCGCGCCGAGAGCGGGGCGGGTTCCCGAGCGGCCCGGGGGCACCGCCCGCTGCCGGGGCGTCGCCAGGAAGCGGAACGGCCGCCAGCGGAATCAGTTCCGGGTGCGAGTGGCTGTGGGAGCGGGCGGGAAGCGGCGCTGGGAGCGGGCCGGGCCGGCCGGGTTCCGCCATGTGAGAGCTCCAGACAGCCCCAGGTGAGCGGCGCGCGAGGGGCGCTCGGCCCGGGGCGGCGCGGCGCTCCCCATGGGACGGGCCGTGCTCGGGAGGGGTCCCGGCGCCTGACAGGCCCCGCGGGGGCGGCGACCGCGGCCCGGCGGGCCGTGGCTCGGTTCGGCTGCCTGGAGCGGAGGCAGCGGCTTCGTCGAGGCGGCCTTCGCCCGGCCGTGCCTCGGTAGGAGCTGTCGCGTAACCCGAGTCGGTGGTTCTGGTGCAGCTTTGGCGTGCGGGGAGGGAGGGCGGACGCGCCTGTGTCGGGGTCTGCTGTTAACCCGAGCGGGGCGTAAAATCCCCGGCACGGCGGACTGGAGAGGAACGAACTTGGCCCCGTTCGGGGAGGTGTTCACTGCCAGGAGCTGGGAGACTTTTCAGCTGCTGCTGTTCCATCAGAGAAGGTGGAAGTTCTAGTGAAACCCCAATCTCCGTAATGCAAAGGTCTTTCCAAATCCCGGCAGGCGTGCACAGCGTGTAGAGTTGGAATTCGCTTAGAGTGAATCAGAGTTGAGAGTTAATTTGGAACAAGCCAGAACAGTCTCAGAAACATTAAAGTGGGTAAGCCTGGTTTCCAAGGGAAAACAAAGTGCGATAGGATTAGCTGCACTGCAGTTGTTACGTGTTGCAGAATACTCAACATCTGGATCCGAATGTGCTTGTGTTTCATTGCCTGTCCAGGGACAGCTCCAAACAGTTCCACCTGTCCCGGGCAGTGTGCTGGGAAAATACCACGAAAATGCGTTCTTTGCAGCTTGTAAATCTACTGCAAAAAATGTTGCTGATATCTAGAGAACATAGTATTGCATTACTTAAAAGAAACATCGGAGCCAAAAAGTCAACAATTTGATGAAGAATGGCTACTGTTAAAAAAACAAACAAACAAAACCCTGCCAAAACCAAAAAAGAAAGTGGACAGATTAAAATGCACAATAGTGATGAAGTATTATCTTGATAGTAAATAAAATTGTAATATCAGGATGTTCAAGAGGTCTCTTCCCACTTTGTGAAAGTTCCAGCTGTGTATATATCCTCACTCTCAAAATACAGGCTGGAGTTCTTTTATAATGGAAGTGGCATTTCAAAGTTGTCAGGTATTTGGAAAATGTGGCTATTTAGCATTACATAATGGGGATATTGTGAAATTTGTGCACAAAATAAAAGCTTTTGATCATTACTTTTAAGATCTTGTTGATTGAAGTGTATGTATCATCAACATGCCCCTTTGTTTTGTTTTTCTGGCAGAATACATTTGTTGATACTGGAATCATAGACACATAGAATAGTTTTATTTAGAAGGCACCTTTTGATCTTGGCTTATCTCCAGTTTGCCTCCTGGTAACTTTTTTGCATTCAGAAATAGATGTGTGCCTGCAACTACTTTTGTGGCAATTTGATTTCTAGAGTCAAGATTTAGAGATTATTTCTATTGAGGTTTCTAATTCTTACGTGAAACTATTTTTATGCATTGATAGGTGTTTCGTTTTTTTCTTTTCAATCACTTCCACACAGGCAAGCAGTTCGAGGAAGACAGTTAAGAGAATGAGGGATGAAAGTGTCACTTGGACTTCATATCTGCTTTCTGTGGATATTTGCTCATATAAGAGGGTCCTTTTTTTTTATAAAACCCTAAATATGCAGTTCCAACAATATCTCTGCTGCACTATGCTGACCACTGAGAATGAGTTTGCAGCGTTGCTTGGTACTGGCACGTGCGTATGTATACATGTCCACGTGTGTACATACATCTAAATAAATTGATTTTATTTTGATGCTGAAATCATCCACTCTTTAAAGTGATTTTCTGTACACGTGTTGTGAATCTTGGTGAGGTAAAAATAAATACTTTAAAATTTTTGTTAGACAAATGTCTGAATTAATAAAGCTTTACTGAACTGAGTGTCAAGGGTTACTCCCTTGACTGCTTTGCTCCCCAGGCAGTTAGTGAGGTTGTGTCCCACAGCACTGCCAGAGACCTCACCTGCCAGGCAGGAGCTTTGCTTGTGGTTTCATTGCAGGTATTCAGTACTTTGGGTAGAACATGGCCTGTCTGGCTGCAGAGAAGGAATAATGACTCTCACTGGACGTTCTGTTATCTACGGATGCAAGAATGTAAGAGCTAAGCTTTCTAGTAACTACAGTTCAGCCTGTATTAACTGGCTTGTGTTTCTGAGGAAGTGGGCATTTCCTGCATTTTTAGGAGGTAAAGTAATAAAGTTTTAAATTGTTGTGTAGTTGTCACCTAACAGATTTTGTATTGTAGTCCAAACTAGACATGAAGCAGACTGACTTTCAAAGCTGTTTTCCAATTAATAATATGCCTTATGCACCTTTTGTGTGTGCTTTCCTACAGATAATTTGGGCAAACTGCTTCTATCTTCTTTAATTCCAATGGGCATTTTGGAGGAAGTGATGAATTAATGCAAAAACCAATTCTACATATTTGAATAGTGCTGCTTGTATTATTAGAAATTTGTTGTACTTCAGTTGTTGGGAGATTATGTGGGTTTTTTACCCTCCTTTAGTTTTGGAGTTTTTTATTGGCTGCAAAATTAAACGTTTTAGAAGTTTTTTATCAGTGAGGTAGCTTACCCTGCTTTGGGGATGGAGTTTCAGTACAGCAGGAATGCTGTGTGGCATGTTATTTAAGGCCATCCAAGAGCACTGTATGTTGACTTTTAAGGGATAATTAGTATTTCACTGTTATGAGAAGTATAAACTGGTAGAATGTTCTATGATCAGTCGCTCCCCTATTTTCAAAGGTTATTTCAAGAGTGTCTTGGAGACCCTCCCCAGCCTTGACATACTTGATGGCAGTTTTCCTTTGATACAGCTAGCGTTAATTAGTGTGGCTTTTGTAAATCTGAAGAGTGATGCAAAGGCATCACTGAAAAGAGTAAGACTGATGAAGACTTTTGCCCAAAAACTTCCATGATCATAGCTGTTAAGGTAACATTCCTAGGTTAAAATTCTCTTGAATGATATTTGCAGTGATGTCCTGAGTTCTCACACAGATGGTGCAAATACTAGGTCCTACACAATGCAAGGGAGGAGTGCACTGATTTATACAAATACCTGCTTATTTTCTTGCCCTCTCTGTATTCTGAGTAGTTATGTATGGAGGGAATATCACAGAATCATTTAAATCGAAAAGACGTCCAAGATCATTGAGTCCAGTCTTTAACTGATCACCGCATTGTCAACCAGACCAGAGCACTGAGTGCCACATCCATTAACACTTCCAGGGATGGTGACTCCACCACCTCCCTGGGCAGCCTGTTCCAATGCTTAACAACCCTTTCAGTGAAGAAATTCTTCCCAATTTCCAACCTGAATCTCCCTTGCTGCAGGTTGAGGCCGTTTCCTCTTGTCCTGCTGCTTGTTGCTGGGTAGAGGCATTTTTGGCATCATAGAGTACTTTGTTTTGGTTTTGTCTTAACTTTCATTATGACCCTCCTGGCTTTTCTATGCATTTCTGTTCTCAGATGTGCTACAACAGTAATGGTTTGTAATGTGGGGTTTTTTTTCCCAAGGATTCCTTGTTGCTGATTTAAGAAAATGCAAGGGATCTTTTCTCCCACCTTAGTGTGAGTTAAAATGAGTATAATTTGTGTCATTCACCTGTCTGTGGGAACGGTGAATCATACTTCAGTGAGTGAAGGAAATTAAACAGGTGCAGACTTAGAAGCAGAAACTAATACTATGTTGGCAGACACACAGCTTCGTGTTATAGTTATATGATGCTTCTCTGCTGCTACTGTATGATGTCAGTAAAATTAAATACCTAATGTGGTTTGTCAACATCTATTCTTGTTTTTTAAATTAAATAAGCGTTTTCATAGAACATAATTTTTAAAGGAAATTTCTTTTGAAATCTAATAAGAAATTTTATCCCTCTCATATTCAGAGGTACTTCAATGAACACTTTTCTTTGAAGACATAGGCCAGCAATCCACTACTACTAAAGCCATTTTGTGGGCTATATTTGCTGTATAAAACCCTGATGAATAAATGTAGTGCAGATGCAAAGAGAATTTATATGATTCTTTTGAGTGTGACTGCATCATCTGCTACAAAATAGACATGAGGCTCAACAGAGAGCCCTTCTAGGACTTAGTGAACCTGGTGTGCATTTTTGGCCTGTGCCTTCAGCCAGTTTCTTGGATACATAATAGCTATGAAAACCTTAAACACTTTGACCTACTTTTGAGGAAAGGTTAAGAGAGGACCTAATTGTAGACAGGTGCCCAGACTCAAATTTTGCAGGGCTATGCCCTAACTTTACACTAACTCCCAGGCAGGGATGAAAGCTAAAGCAAGATGAAATGCATTACTTTTTAACAATGAGTGTACCTGGCACTGCTGTGACTTTACAAAATCACAGAATATTCTCAGTTGGAAGGGACCCAAAAGGATAATTGAATCCAGCTCAAGTTGTCTTAGTTCTCACTACCCCCAAATGCTCAAGTTTATATATTGCAAATAAAACTGTCGTAATTCTGAGCTATTGTTCTATATGACTGTACTGAGCCTAAATAACACAGGTTTCCTCTGCACCTGCTGAGATACTGTGGAAGGTACCGAATGGGACTTCTGACTGAGCATGATTTCTTTTTCTTCTTCACCTGTGCTAATTCTGTAAGGAATGTTATGTGTATAAGTTTCATTATGACTGTCTGGTTAACTGCAGAGATTTTTTTTTCTTTAGAGCATACAGTGGATGTGTCCAAAGTTCTTTTGTGTTTTAAAGTACCTTCTTGCTTCAGTTTAATGCTATATGCCTGACCCCAAAGGAGAAGAGGTTAGGGAGATGTTCCACCTTGAAGGAAGCTGTTAAAAAGCTTGGGGGGGGTTCTCATTAGCCTTTTCAAACTGTAGTGATCTTCCCAGATTCTTTCAGAAATGTTTCAGCCATAAATACTATTGTCTTGAAAGTGCTACTGCTCTGCCAGCACTGATGAATAATTGAGTATTGTTATGGTACAGTACCCTGCTGAACATTATTTTGGTTAATGTTACTAGAATTTTATCATGGAACTGCTAAGTTGATCCTATATAGAAATAAAAGAAAACCTTCTTGTGTATGGGAATATAATCTATGGATTACTTTTATTTTCTAGATAGTGACATTAGGGACTTTTGTAAATAAATAAGATCATTTTTCTTCTGGCACTTATTCACCAATAAAACATGGCGAGTGATGCCTGCTTCTCTGATGTGTGATGCCCTGATTTCCCCCCCAGGTCTTGCTTTCCCAAATTGATATGAGGAAGTTGGGATGCTCTGGTACTAACCCTGCCAAAATTACTGCAGCCTCAATGCTGTCCCTGCTAGGGGGAGGGAGGCCTGCTCCAGAATGGGGTTTCCATTGGTAACTGGTCACTTCTCCTCTAGCTGGAGATTTAAGGTTGTGGCTGAAATTGGAAGAAGGGTTCCCTTCTGTCCACTGCTGCTGTATTTCAAAATTCTTGTCCTTTAACCCCAGCTTTCCACAGATGATTTCAAGGTTACAGGAAGCATGTATCTGCAAAGGAAGGAACTAAGGTGGAAAAGTACTCGAAAGAGTATGCTGTAGCTTGCTCTCTTTGTTTTTTAAGAGCAGCTGGGTATAGAATCTTGTTGTGCACTGCCTTTTGATAGTGTGCACTTGACCTGTTTGCTTGCTCTCAAAGCTACACTGTATGTTCCCTTGATCCCTCTTGCAGGGCTTTTACTGCTTTTCTGCTACACTGATGAACAGACTTACAGACCTTTGACTCCATCATCCTCTCCACTCATGGCCAGAATGTGCTGTTTACTCCTAGCATCTTAAGCAAAATAAGCTTCTTTGTTTCCCAAAAGAAAGATGAAACAACTCTGAGAACAGATACATATATGCATATGGAGATAATAGGGTGTTCTAATCGTCATGATAGGCAAGGATCACAGTGGATTCCCATCTCCTTGGTGTCTTTCTGGTTCTCATGCTTTCTCTGGTATGTGTTTGCAGTCCATTTTCAATGCGTGGCCGCATCCCAGGGACCCTGAATTCATCTAGAGATTCTATGATGAAAAGAACATAATTTCTTTTTCCTCTATCATAAGCCATAAAATGTCCATCTTCTCTCTTCTCAGGTGCCTATCCTTAATTCATTCCTTCTGTCTGAACCAGTGCTAGTGGTGACAATTTACGTTTTAGTATTTTCTCCAGGAGTAAGTTATTCTCCATTTTGCTGGGTAAGAGCCCTTAGGGAAGTATGGGACAAGGAGGAACTCCACTGTCTATTTGTGACAAACCTTCTGTACATCCTAGACTAGAATGCCAAATTATTGCTGCTGGAGGCTGGTCTTTTGGTCTCTACAGAGTTCCTGACTCAGGTAATTTGTCTATTCGTGTCACTTCTACTCAACACAAACTCTTCCTCAATTTATCAGAGAAGCTTGATCAGGAATGGCTGATGTTGCATCTGTGCATAGCTAATAAGCCCCACAAATTAAAGGTTCCATATGCTGGGTTTCTAAGAAGCTTGCGCTGCCCTGTCAGGCACAAGTGAAGGTGACAGATTGTGATGGTGCATTCCCTCCTCCCTGGTGATTCCTTAAGTGACCTTAAAACACTCATTCGTAACACAGACATGTATCCAACTGCTGAAACTCCTGTCTTCCGTGTGGGCATGGGATAGTTATTCTCTGCACAACAGGCAGGGGTGCTCAGAAAAGCAAAGTTAATCTTGCCATGTAACTACACCACAGCTGGGATAGGTTATGTGTTGTGCTGTTGGATTTTTGACTTACATCAGCGCAAAACTCTGAATTGTTTTGTAGCTTTGCTTGCTGAATAAAAGAACTGTCCTGCCAAAGCCATCTCTGAAGAGATTGCTATAGTCATATCACTTCTGGTAGCCATCTTGCAGTCCTTATTTCCCACCTCAGATGTAAGAACCTAGAAAATGTCTTTTTTCTCACTTATACATCTCAGCCAAAAAACTCAAATGAAGTCCCATTTACCCATTTTAATGGGTAATGACACTGGTAAGTTAGAGAACATATTTAGCAAGTCTGATAACTTGATTTTGAATGTTCTGTGAGAGTTTTTGCCAGTTTTCTAAGTCAAACATAATGTCAAGACAGGAAGCTGGCTTTCTTGTGTCTGCTGAAAAGAAGTTCTGGTTTTGAAGGTTGTGAATGTTAGTTTTATGTGAGGGTCAGCTGATAGAGTTCCAGTGCTTCCTTTTAGGATTTTAATCTTATTTCTTGTCAATTTTCTTTTTAGAAACCTGAATTTTCATAATTTGATTTAAATTGTTCCTGTGTCCCATTACAGCATGTAACATAATAGAAAAAAAAATCTGCTAGTATATTGTGATACATTGGATATGCTTCCTGCATCTGAAGTCAATGGATGATGTTGAGATCTGTTTGTTCAATTGGAAAAGCAGGTATGGTGGCAATATTATGTCTTTAGACTTCTGCATTAATAAGAACTAGAATAGCAATAAAAGTCTGAGGGTTCTTGGGCGCTTGATTAGTGTCCAGTCTTGGAAATGTAGGGTAATGTTGCAGATCAACATTCTCAGGCTGATAGTGTGTGGGTATGCTTTTTACAATAGTAATCTGTGAAAAGTACTTTTCTTTAGCTTTTGTTTGGAGCCCTATACATCTCTTTAAGGCCTCTTTGAATGTCATTTTCCTCTGTTTAAGTACCCATGGCTTTTAAGTTAGGTTAAAATTTGAATGTCAAATTATTCTAGCTTGGAGATGACTGCTGTGTCAGATGAGCTTCAAAGTTCACACCATGGTTTGAAAAAAAAAAAAAAAAAAACTAAAATTACAAGAGAAATTTTTTTTTTAAAATTTGAAGTCCATGGGTGGCTCAAACATTTTTCTTTCAAATCTTTCAGATTAAGACTGTACTTTTTTATTATATGGAGTATTTATGCTAAATGTTTTGTTGTAATGCACCTTTAACAGATCAGTGGGGTGATGTGACTTAAACATTTGCAAGCATTTATTTTTGAAATGGAAAACTCCATATTCATTCTCTGTTTTAAATCTTCTAATTTTTCTTTCAGATTACTCTTTACATCTGTAGAAATGGACAGCAGCAGTTTCATTCAGTTTGATGTGCCGGAGTACAGCAACACTGTTCTGAGCCAGTTAAACGAGCTCCGCTTGCAAGGGAAACTCTGTGACATAATCGTGCACATCCAGGGTCAGCCGTTCCGTGCCCATAAAGCTGTCTTAGCTGCCAGTTCTCCGTATTTCCGCGACCATTCAGCATTAAGCACCATGAGTGGCCTATCCATATCGGTTATTAAAAACCCCAATGTTTTTGAACAGTTGCTTTCTTTTTGTTACACTGGAAGGATGTCCTTGCAACTGAAGGACGTTGTCAGTTTTCTGACTGCAGCTAGCTTCCTACAGATGCAGTGTGTCATTGACAAGTGCACACAGATACTGGAGAGTATTCATTCAAAGATCAGTGTTGGTGATGTTGATTCTGTTACTGTCGGTGCCGAAGAAAATTCAGAGAATCGTAATGGCGTTAAAGACAGCAGCTACTTTGCCAACCCTATTGAGATATCTCCTCCCTATTGCTCTCAGGTGCGACAGTCAGCAGCAGGCAGCGACCTTCGGATGGAAACTACTCCAGGCAAAACTCTTCGTAGTCGTCTGCAAGAAGAAGGGCATTCAGACAGAGGGAGCAGCGGTAGTATCTCTGAATATGAGGTTCAGATTGAAGGTGATCATGACCAAGGAGACCTGATAGTAAGGGAAAGTCAGATTGCAGAGGTGAAAGTTAAAATGGAAAAGTCTGACAGACCAAGCTGCTCTGATAGCTCTTCCCTTGGTGATGATGGATATCACACTGAAATGGTGGATGGAGAGCAGGTGGTCGCAGTAAACGTTGGTTCCTATGGGTCTGTCTTACAACATGTTTATTCATTTACTCATGCCTCATCACAGGCAACAGGTGTGTCAGAAACCTTTGGAAGCATGAGCAATACAAGTCCTTCAAGGTCAATGCTGAGCTGTTTCAGAGGAGGTCGTGCACGCCAAAAACGAGTACCTACGGGTCACTTGCATAGTGATGTCCAGGGCTTGGTGCAAGGGGCTGACACTGAATCCATGGTGAGTAATCCAGGATATGAAAATAGTCCAAGGGAAAGAAATGCAAGAGGTCATTGGTATCCATACAATGAGAGGCTAATTTGTATCTACTGTGGCAAGTCTTTCAACCAGAAAGGGAGCCTTGACCGACACATGCGATTGCACATGGGAATAACTCCTTTTGTGTGCAAGTTTTGTGGAAAGAAATATACCCGTAAGGACCAACTTGAGTATCATATTCGTGGTCACACAGATGACAAACCCTTTCGCTGTGAGATCTGTGGAAAATGTTTTCCTTTCCAGGGTACACTAAACCAGCACTTGCGAAAAAATCACCCGGGAGTTACAGAAGTGAGAAACAGGGTTGAGTCTCCAGACAGAACAGAAGCGTTTGTGGAACAGAAAGTAGATAACGATGCTTCAGCTTCTGAAGCCATGGATTCTAGTATGGAAATTCATGCAATGTCTAACACATCTGATTAAAATCTTATATCTAAGTGAAACACAGACAAGCACATTACTTATGTATTTTTAAAGTATTTTATTCTTTTAGTAATCTTCAGTACAAGTATAACAGCCTTTTCATTTTCCTGACCTTCTGGAAATCAGTTAGAAATGGTTTCTGGAGAAGACTTCAGAAGTATTCTTTGTTTTTGAAGGAGGCTGATTTGTTTGGGGTTTGTTTTTTTGTATTTGAAGACGCTCAGAATATAAAGACAGTGTACTGGGGAAAGGCTAGGAAGAGTCTGGTGAAGTGTCCCTGCTGATTGATCTGGTGAGACGCAAATGCCAGTGGAGAAAGATATTAGAATAAGATTGGCAGCTCTGCTGAATGTTCAAAGAAGCTGTAATTTCCTTTATTTCTTAAATCCTGTTGCTGGTAATGAGTTACACAGCAGTTGGGAGAGAGAATATTACAGCTTTGATTCCTCTCCTGTCACAATGAAATCTGTTCACTCTTACTAACTGGTTTTGGTAGTGAGACTGTTTATATATATAAATTTGCTTTATATATATAAAATGCTTTCACTTTCCCTTTTCTGTGTCAAGGCTAATACCATATGCCACTCTATCAACCGTTAGGACTCCTCTCTGCTTAGGGTTTAGAACTTCGGACTTTGGGAGGATGGTTTTGGTTTTAAACAAATGTTGTTTGGTTTTCATTTTATTAAACTATTACTTTGTGTGCAAAAGTGAGCAAAGTGAATTACCTTGTTTTAATAGCTTTGCTTTATAACATATGTTAACCAAATGCCATAAATCTATTAACTATGGTTAAATTGTTGAAAGGTTTTGTTAGTTGTCTAGAATGCAAGCTGGACAACCTGTGGTGCTGACCTTTTTATATATATAGAGATAGATATATCTATATATATATAGATATACACATATATATATATCTATATATTAAAAAAAAATATTAGCAAACCTAAAAGTAGCATTGTGGTCTAAAATGGGTTTTTACTGGCCTCAGAATCTACCTTCATTTTGTACTGTAGAACCGTACCAGGTAATTAAACTTAACTTCATCACTCTTCATGGTTGGTTAAAACATGAGAGAGATGTAGTTTAAATCACAGTATTTCCGAGCAGTATTTTAATAGGTCTCTTCACAGAGAGCTGCTTTCAGGTGCACGTTGGCTTCCTACTTAAATTTCCGGGTGATATGCCAGCACTTGGAATTTGTACTTTTTTTGTATAGAAAAACAAATACTTTATGGGAATTTTGAGCAATATGTTATTTCATGTGTGAGTATCACAGAGTTGCTATGGCTTCTCTGTTTTTTCAGTGGTTTTTTTCTCTATAAAGAAGCTACCAACAACTTTAAAAATACTCTAAATCTTTTTTGTTTCACCAAATACGTGTTTTTAATATGGTGCTAACTTCATTATTTAGGTCAGTATAATATATAACATGTGAAACATAATGGTCAAGGGAAAAAAATCCCCAAAAGCAGACAAACAAAAGCCCCCCTACACAAACCAACTTCCCTAAGATCCCAACTAAACAGAAAAAAAAAAAAGGAAAAAAAAAGAGGAAAAAAAAAAAAAGAAAAAAACCCAATACCACAAAAAACCAATGGCTTAAAAGACCTCAAAAGCATGGGCTGGCAAACACTACTGTTTAACATTCTACCTGATGAACAGAATTAGTTATTAAACTAATCACATCCTTCTTTAGAATACAGGTTTTATATTATTGGGTCTTATGTTTGTTTAGCTGATACTGAAAATCCATTTGTGAACGTGCTGTTTAACTCCCAAAAATTAGAAAATGAAAGTGCATTTCTAAATTATTGGAAAGAAAAAGGTAGGTTTGCTATCTTGTAAAACTTTTTGGCCTCTGTGAAGCTGGGACATATTTGTGCAGCGGCTTTATTAAATACACTAGTTCTTCATATTGTGACACACTGCAATAAGAATTAATCTCTCAAACATGGATTTACAGTATAACCTCCAACTGCTCCATTGGAGTAGTTTCAGTCAAATTAAGTACATCATTTGCCTCTTTGTCCTAAAACTGCCTAAATAAAGAGGCAGGGGGTGGGGAGATGCTTCTCTCCTTGAAGCAACAACAGAAATTTTGTTTCCAGTGAGGGAAGGGATAGTCTGTGTCTAAAGGCAGGTAGTCTGTATGTTTACTCACCTAAAAACATGGTGTTTCTGATACAGTTTTTTCCTTGAGTGTTTGTTTTAAGTAATTAAATGCAAAAAGTGTGTTTTGGTAAATTAAGTTTGAGACATGCAAAATCCAAGAAATGTATAGTTATTCTTAACCCTTTATCTTGAACCTGTGCTGTGGTGCCTTTGGTGTGAATTTTTCCCTGGAAGGATGACTTGAGGATAGCAGGATATGGGTACAAATTTATATTTCTTGAATTTCTGTGTCACAATCTTAGCATTATTTAAATCTAGTTCTTTGTATTTGTAAATGTATTAAAATGGTTTGAGTTTACCAAAGAGTGACTTATCCAAAATTGTCTCAGACAAAAGCAAACAAGAAAACAACATCACGTTGATTGTACAGGTTCAGGTTCAAACCGTTGTAACAGACTGTTAAGGGGCAGGAAATGATCCGCTTTTCTCCAAGCCGTGGTCCAGCAGTGTGCAAGTCCCTCCCCGCGCGGGCAGCGCTCTTGCCTCCAAGCCATAGTCCAGCTCTGCGGCGCAGCCGCGCGCCCGGGCTCTGCCAGACACCACCGGCACCCCTGGCAGCAGCACTGCCACCGTGCCTTGTCACACAGCGCGGTGCCAGCATCAGCGCTGGCACAGGCACGAGGCACGGCCGCTGAGCACGGTGCCATTCCTTTAGCAGAGGCTGGAAACACTGTACCGTGTCTCGTGTCTGTGCGGTTCTTAGCACAGGGCTGTTACGCATTTCATTTACAATAAATGCAGAAGTCAGTAGAATATGTGAAGAAATATTTGACAGCAAAATAAGTAATGAAATTATACAGGCTGGTTCATAATTGAGTCTCTTCTTAATCTACCTTTTTAATTCTAGACAAATGTGAAAACAGTGACAGTGTCCTTTCCTCTAGATGCTTAACCTATTCTGACAAACTGTGAAAATAAAGGATTTTATACCTTTGCTAATGTTTCTTGTTTAAAACTATTATTTTAGTTTCCTTTATCAGTTATCTCCCATATTACTTTTTTTAAACTTGTAAATACGTTTAGAAAATAGCTTTGTAAATACTTACAAGTGTATTAAAAGTTCAGTTTGGTCACTAAGGCCTCAAGATTGGCTCTGCTTTTTGAGTGTGAAATCTTTCTGTAGCATAAAGGATACTGTCAGTTCACTGTCAGCAGGGTAGACTGTAGGCCTAAATTTAGAGTTTTAATGCAGTCTTCCCCAGCATAAATTCATGTTTTATGCTGAAGCCTTTGGTTTACTTTGGACAAAACAATGAGGCCTCATAATGTTTAGGCTGAATTATGGGAAGAACAACAGGAATAAAATCAAGGGCTGGGAAAATACTGAATAAGCTTTACCTTTAAATATATATATATTATTTTAATTTTTGTATTAGTTTACTGTGATTCTTTTATTGTCATTTTTCTAAACAGGTTTTACATGAAACCATTGAAAGGGACTCAAATATGCAACACCTAATCTATTTTCCAAGGGAATTTTACCCTTGAATGGTGCTTTTTGACTGGTCAGGGTTATTTATTAAATTTTATATTTGAAAGTATTTGGGGAATTATGTAAATTCTTTATATGAATCTCTTTATTTCATGAATTGTAAATTTCATAATACTCAGTGATCAAATTGGAAGTTTAGTAAAGTCATTCAAAATGTTCAAACTTTATAATCTGTGTGCATTTTACATATGTTTTATCAAGTGCCAGAATACTTGTATTTAATATTGTAGATTTAATACTACTTGCACATCCCTGTGGCAGCATTAACTTAAGTTATGCAAGTTTACATTAAAAAAAAACAAAAACGAAACAAATAAGTAAGCCTGGGACGTGTGTTCCTGTATTTCTTCAGGGGATGTGAAGCCACGTATCACTGACTGAGCAGGTTTGCTTCCTGCTCCTGTAGCTCACTCCTGCTATGGCAGATGCAGAACTGCTGAATCCCCTTCCCACGGGCCGGGGATTCAGCCTTTGAACTCAGCCTGAGAAGCTCTGGTTGTAGATCTGGTTAGAGGTAGAGCTCTTGCACGATTTTAACAGTGTTTGTTTCTGACTGAAAATTTGTATTTTAAAATAAATTTTATTTGTATGGTTATTTTTCAAGATAAATAATTGAACAGTTTGAATGACTTGACTTGGTGTCATTATCTTGCAATATAAACCGGGAACCTCACACCTCCGCACTTCATCGCCACGTGAAGTAAATGAAGCTAGCTAAGCTGATGCTGTAAGAATTAGTAACTTGCCATTAAGGATTATTTTACAGCATGAACTTTAAAATATTTATTCAGATGATATTTTACTCTTGTATTCACTTTGTTTTTAGATTTGTGACATGAATATTTCTGTGCTGCTTTATTTTGTTCTGATGAATTTGTTTCTTGCTTGTAAATTGCCTTTTTTATGGTATAAAGTCAATCGGAATTGCTGTTTGTAAATTAAAATGCTTCTAGAGCAAATCTGTGGTGTCAGTGTCTACATTTAGGTATTCAATTACTGGGAGTTTGCATTTTAGATGCTATTACTGAACTGTTACAAGAAGCATTTTAATACTGATCTACCAACTAGAAATCAAGTCATTAGAAACAACTACTCTTGAAGTTTCTCTGTTTTGCCAGCATTAATTGCTTCATTCTGAACAGATGATCATTTGAGCTGTGTACTCCAAAACCTCATCCAACTTTCAGAGCAAAACAAAAAATCCAGCCAGGTGGTGGCAATCCATCCATGCCATTCCAAGGCTGGTCTGTTGAGGAGGGACACCCTGCTTCGTTCCTTCAGCAGCATTTACGTTTTATGTTCTGCTGCCGACATCAGTAGGGGTGATGCTGCTCCCAGCAAGTGTAGGTACACTCCTCCTCACCCTCGACGTTGAATTTAACAGGAGCATCCCCCCTACAGTGCAGCTGTAGGCCATGGTTATCTTGACTGGCAGTGGGATTTGGCGGGACTGGAGCTGCATGGGTTAGTCCCTGAGTCCCTGTTGGTGTCAGAGTACTCCAGCCTTCAACACCTCCCTTCAAATCCCCTTCTTATAAAGGTCTGAAACTTCAAGTAATGCAGAATGGGGTAAACAAGACCTGACTCTTAGGAGTGGGATAAACATACTGTTGCACTGGTACCCAGGCCACTGAGATGATCAGGTGTCTGGAGCATCTCTGCTATGGAGCCAGACTGGGAGAGCTGGGGCTGCTCATCTGGGGAAGAGAAGGGTCTGGGGAGACCTCAGAGCCCCTTCCAGCACCTAAAGGGGCTCCAGGAGAGCTGGAGAGGGACTTTTAACAAGGGTCTGGAGTGCTTCCCACTGCCAGAGGGCAGGCTTAGATGGGATATTGGGAAGGAATTGTTCCCTGGGAGGGTGGCGAGGCCCTGGCACAGGGTGCCCAGAGCAGCTGGGGCAGCCCCATCCCTGTAGTGACCAAGGCCAGGTTGGACCAGGCTTGGAGCAACCTGGTCCAGTGGAAGGTGTCTCTGCCCATGGCAAGGATGTGGAATGAGATGAGCTTTTAAATCCCTTCCCTAAATCATTCTGATTCTGTGAGTGTTCTGAAATAGCTGAATTTCTCTTATCGTAGCTGGCACATCTGAATTCAGCATCAAGGGAAAAGCAGACCCAGAGATTGGATACTTGTTTAAAAAGTGCTACAAAATACCACTTTCAGCAGAAAACAGAAGACAAAGATTTTGTGAAAAAGTTTTGTTAAGGTGGCTACAGGAAAAACTTGGTTTAGGTTAAAAAGAACCAGTTTTGTTCACCTGATCTTTGTGTACATGCAGATGCAGGCCCCATTGCTTAACTTTTCATAATGCAGACTTCTTGAAAACAGGTTGAGGGAAAGGTAGAATAGCCAATGAATATGGCATACGGAATTTATACTCTTCCAGCAATAATCATGCAGAGAAAATGAAGCCAAATTCCATGGATGTTACATTTCGTGAGCTATATGAAATAGCATAGTACATTTGTATTGTGCATGGGTTTAGGAAAAATTTAAATTGAATATTATGTCAAAAGTCAGTTGAATTATAGACAGAAACATTTCATTAAAATTTAGGGAAATTATATGGCTGATGCCATTGTCTAAAGTAACATTCCTTGTCTGTGCATTCTTTTCCACCAGAGGGTGCTGGCTTATTTTTAAAAATATATGATGTAGGGGTCATTTAAGGCACTGTACATAGCAGAAACCTAAAATAGGAACAAAAAAAGAAGTTTCGAGTCCTCATTATGACCCCTTCAAGAGGAGCAGGTGCTGGGTGATTCCGTTGTTAGCAGAGCAGTGTTTATACCCAGGATTTCAGAGGCTGTCCTGCTGTGCTGCATGAGACCTACCTGGGCAGTGGACACCACCATTTTACAGTACTTTAAGTGTCAGTTTGGTGACTCTGTCAGAATCTCATAATCATTTGGATAAGAAGTTAACTGGTTTTCAGATAGTTTTTTTCCAAATTCCTGTAAAAATACTAGTAACTAATGTATATTTTCCAAAGACTGTAGCACATGGATTGCTGTTTTAATGTTCTGGCACAGTGATACAGGACAGAGAAGAAAATATTTTGCCAGACAATTCTGTACTTTTGCTCTAGTGGGAACTGATGCTATACATATTAGAGGAAAGTGTGTTGCTTGGCAGTACACCAATAGGATAAACTCAAATAAGAATTAAATTTTTGGAGATTCATATGAAATTAATTTTCTTTAGCCTTTCTGAGGGGCAGGGAAGTGTAGAGAGAATACCTTCTGTGTAGTGCCTTTGGCTTTGATATAGTTATTGGTGTTGTGAGCATCAGGACTCATAACAGATCTCAAATCTATGTTTAAAGTTATTTTTACAATTTATTCTCAATTTGAATTTTTCTGCTTTGAAAAGCGCACTCATATACATTTAGTTGTGATGTCTGAAGATGTTTAAACTGCTCTGAGTTTGATAGGTACTGAAAACCTTTGGTAACCAGGAAATTGGAAAGACACCTTATAAATGTATTCGGGGCATCATGCAGTATCTCAAAGCTTCCTCTGCATACCCTCACTAGGCTTTTGTTCTCTAACACGCAAACCTGCAGGCCAGTCCGATGGGCTGAGTGGAATCCTGCATGTACCTACCAGTCCACAGAGTCAATGTTTTCCTGTAGCGATGCCTACACACACTGCGCCTGAGCATAGCTTTTATAGAAGCTGTAAGTCAGAGAAAGGTGCACCATCCTTTTGCCTCTTTGCTTCTAGTACCACTCTCAATTACCAAGAAGCCCACAAAGCTCTATTTGATTGCCTTGGAAGAACACACAAGGTCACTGACCCGCAGCATCATCACCCGGACCTGAACCTGACCACGGTTTTAGTTTGGAGGTTCCGAAAGGTTTGTCGGGACCTTTCGGGAAGGGAGAGGCACAGCCCATGCTGCGGCGAGGGGACGGAACGACCGGCACTTCACTGACTCTTCTCCGGGAGCGACCAGACGCGCTGCTCGGGGCCGGGCCGCCACCGGGAGGGACGCTCGGGCTGTTCGGAAGCCCTGCCCGGACCCCCGGGTTCGCCCCTCGCCCGCACCCCCGGGCTCGCCCCCTGCCCGCACCCCCGGGTTCGCCCCTCATCCGGACCCCCGGGTTCGCCCCCTGCCGCACCCCTGGGCTCGCCCCGCGCCCGCACCCCCGGGCTCGCCCCGCGCCCGCACCCCCAGGTTCGCCCCCTGCCGCACCCCCGGGCTCGCCCCGCGCCCGCACCCCCGGGCTCGCCCCGCGCCCCCACCCCCAGGTTCGCCCCCTGCCCGGACCCCCGGGTTCGCCCCGCGCCCGCACCCCCGGGCTCCCGCCGCTCTCACGGAGCCACCTGCGCAGCGGCGCTGAGACCGCCAGGGGGCGCGGGCGGGGCGGGCGCGGCCAAGGACGGCGCCGCAGCACCTGCGCTCGCGCGCTCCCGCCCCGCCCGGGCCCATTGGTGCGCGCTCCCGCGCGGGGAGCCGGTTGGCTGGCGCGCGCGTCAGTCCGCGCGCCCCCGCCCCGCCCCGCGGTCCCCAGCCGGGCCGGGCCTCGTCCCCGGCGGCGCTGAGGGTGCCTCCCTCTCACCGAGAGAGCTCGTGGGCGTTGCTGGGGGCATCAAGTCCCGAACAGGTGAGCTGCGGACAAGCTCCGTGTGCCCGGCAGAAAAGGTGGGACAGGCCGCCACAGCCCCTCGTCCCTCTGCCTTCTGCCGGCCCCGCTCCGGGCGTGTGTTGCGGACGGAGCTCTGCGGCGACAGGCCCAGACGGGCGCTCACCCTCCGGAGGCGCCGCTAGCGGGAGGCTGGCGGCTCCCGGCTCCCCGGGGGCGGCGCGGGGCGCTGCCGCATCGCCGCCCGCCGTGGCGGGTCCGGGCCCCTCCTGCGCGGGGCGCGGCAGGTGCGCGGGAGGCGGGCTGGGCGCTGGCGGGGCCGGGCGGCGCTTCCCCGCTCTGCGAGCGCCCGACCAGCCCCTCGGCCTCGCTCGGAAAGGGGCCCGGGCCCCTCCCCGCCCGGCGCTGTCGCTCCGGCGCGGGGCTGGCGGCGCCCACGGCCCTGCCCGCCGGCGGGGCTCCGGGGCTGGCCCGGTGCGGTGAGGCGGGGCGGGCACGTGCAGTCGGTGCTGCGCGGCGCGAATCCGGGCGGCAGCGGGAGCAGCCTTGGTACGGATGTGGGGTCTGGGGGAACAGATGGAAACCACCTAGGGTTGGCTACGGCCTCCTGTGTCTTTAGGAATAAATTTGAAAACTATTTGCATATCATGTGGATGAAACCGTGCGGATCTTGTTCAGAGCCTTTACTGCGATCTGTTTTCAATTCACTTCAGATAGTTTTTGGTCTAGCTTCTGCAGGCTTATGTCAGCCTGGGGCCTTGGCAAGTCGTGGATGGAGGAATGGATGTTGAAATTTTTGGTTGTAGAAGTACATCATGCCTTTTGTCTGTGGCTTGTTGATCTGAACCCAACTAAATGGAGCATATGTATTCTTGTCACACTAATTATTGAAAAAATTGAAATGCGTTGATGTCTCTGAAATACAAAAGAATATTCCTTGCCTCAGAAACCTTATCTATGAATGTTGCAATTTGTCTTTTATGTCTAGCTTTGATAGTCAGATATTTTTTCACTTGTTGAATATTCATGCCATGCCTGGTAGATATTCTTCATGTCTCAGAAGGACAGGAAGCTGTTGTAAAGGGCAGACCTACACAAACTTGCATGTTGCCCATCCTGCGTGATGTAGCACCAGTTTGCAGAAAAATGAGTACAAAACACTTTCAAACCAAGTTATTTTATTTGTTTTTCTGTTTATTTGCCTTATTTTAGTGAAGGGAAGACATCCAGAGGTTCATATGCATAGTAATTACAAGGTTTGCCCTTTACTAAAATGCCATGTGATGCAGGGCAGACAACAGGCATCATGTCTGTAATTTCATTGAAATACTTAAATGGTTGCTAACCCATTTTTAACTTGTCATTTTGATTATTCTGTGAACTAGGATCGTTTGCTCATGCAAGGAGTGCCTACTGGATGAGTTTTGGGTGTGTCAAAAGAATACTGCTTTTCTAGCAAAAGATAGTTTGCTTTGATGCCAGTAGGAATTGTGTATAGTTATAGTCTAGAAGAGAGACTTTTTTAAGGGGGAGGTTCTCTAGTGATAGAACGAAAATAAAAACTGTAGTAGAGGCACAGTAGCACCAATTGACCTGCAGTGATTTTTACCTTTATCAAAGCAACATGGGCTTTAATGAGATTTTCATATCAGTCTATATAAAAGAAGGTGTCTTTGAGATTATTTTCTTCTCATTTGATGTGTAATTTTATTAAACATTAGGTTTTATAAAAGTTGGTATAAGGCAAACGAGGAGAAAAGGGAAGGGCTATGCCTAAAGTAAATATCACCAAAATTAGTTACCTAAGCAGTATTTTTCTTAGGTTTGTAGCTGATCGTGTTTGTTGGAAGAGCTATGGCTTTATTTGCTGATACAGAGATAAAAGAATTACTGTATTTGGATTTGTGTCCATTTTGCTTTATTTAATTAAGCCTTGAAGAAAATGGTGTGAGGATGAGTAGCATTTACAATTCATAAAGCACCTTGAAAGAAGTGAGTGAAACCAATAAATAATGTGTGTTGGCTTGGACCTTGTGTTGATTGACAGAGTGAGGGGGAGTTACAAGCACATATTTGGAGTATATTTCGCTATGAAACTTATAATACATTGCTCTTCTCTCTGTGATGTATATGTAGTTCTTTTAAGTTTGGGAATTTGTCAAATAGCAATGAAACTAGAATGGGGAGCTAACAATGAAAGTTGTGAGGGAGATGTAAGAATAAAAATCCCAGAGCACATGTTTCAGGTGAGGAGTGCACAGTTTGAGAATAATTGAGTTGTAAAATAAATGTAACCGTAATCCTGTTTCCTGGTATTTACAGGAATGTTATGCTTTTAAACAAGAGATAAAACTGCTGAAAAACCAGAGCTAGACCCAGCAACGAACTAATGGAGGTGTGCAGCAAAATGGGTTGAGAGCACAGCTGCCTTATTCCACTGTAAGTATGCAATTGTATTTAAAGTTACAGGTATTTCATATTTTCACCTATATTTGATAACCAGAGATTACAGAAGTGTCTGTCAGTTCTCATCTGTTTAGAGAACTTGAGTTGTAGTAGTATTTTACTATAATTTGCAGATATATGTTTCTTTTCCTGTAACTGAAGATTTTTTCCTTTCATGAAGATTCCCTGAAAGTAAAACTTCCTAAACATATATCTTGGTCTTCTAAGATATTCAAGTTTGCAGACTTGCTTGAAGGGTAATGACTTTTGAAGGAGAACTTCTGCTGGAGAGAGCACTGCAGTTCTGTCTTGATATGGAACGTTGATGTAAAGATTTCCAGACACAGATAAAATTCCAGTCTATGCAAAGTTCTCCAAATGGTTTCTAATAATTAGAAACCCATACTGTATTTCTTGTCTTAATTTGTTTAGGTAACCAGATGGAGATCTACTGTCTTTACTTAGTAGAATTCACTTTATTGTACTTTTTCAGCTTATACAAGTAATTTTGATCATACTATTACTTTACTTCCTGATGCAGTAAGTAATGATGCAGACAGAAGAAATGGAGAGAAGAAAACATTTAAAAGTAAATTTGTAAATATAATAAATGTTCATTAGAGTGAGCTCAGTAATCAGTGGATATAGTAAAGATGTGGGGCGTAATCAGAAGAATAGCATTGGACATTCAAGCCAGCATTGTCAGCTTCCTACTCTTTCATGGTTTTAGCAACTGAGGATTGTGTGAGATTTGAAATAATTTTTGACAGCCTTTTGCTATGAAATTTTGCATACAGCTTTTAAACTAGGAAACTGAGACATTGCATTCATTATAATTTTGAAAAATAAGACAACCTTCTTTTTATTCCACTTGTAGAATGTTAGCTTACCTTTTTGGTGTAGTGACTGCCACATATGTCTTTGTATCCAGGTTGCCCTATGACAGTTAATTTGAAAAGCTGGAATTTTAATTGTTGTAGGGCAGCTTAGTGACAACAAAGGGACCAATGGCAGTCTAGTGTAACATGTGACAAATCAAATAAAGCATGTCATAAATGCATGACCTGCGCATTAGGTGTTGTTTTTAATGTACTGTTAGGTATAATTCAGATCAGTTGTGTATTAAGATAACCCAAGAGTTCAGGACTTGGATTCTGAAGTTGTTTCTTGAACTCATCACAGCAGCTGCTTCTCTGCTCACAGACAAACTCGTTTGAGTACATGCACTGGAGGGGTGGAAGTAGGAGAGTTGAGAGAATTTTAGAAAGGGAAATCAACTTTGAATATGCTTTTTCCAGAATTAGACTTGATCCATTGGCAGCTATTGGGAAATGATGCAAGATTCAGGTTTTTTTAGCCTGTTTACTCAGGGACGATGCACGTTATTGAGGAATAGTTATTTACTTGAGTGATCTCAGTTTATGGTCAGCTGAATTAATCCACAGCCCCATTTTATTTCTGTTACATTTTCATTATTCATCATTAAATACAGTAAGAAGTTTCTCAGAAAAGGATGTGCATGAAACTGCTAAATTGTTCATAGTGTATTTTATCTATAGGGGGTACTGTTGCCTAAAACATAGTGAAATATATTAGGGTCTTCCTGGTGAAATGGATACTGAAAATACACAAGTGTTTGCTTTGGAAGATCTTTAAAAAGCTATCACATTTCTATGACTAATCTTCTCTAGCCTAATTGCTTTGTTAATAAACCGTTAATAAACCGTTAGTAGGCAATTATTTAAATCCAGGCTTTCAAATACTCTAGAATTTCTCATGTTGTCCAAATGTCCACCAAGATTTATTGTTTAATTACTTCAAAAGGACCTTTTGAAATTAAGATATTTTTCATATAAAGCATTATGGTTACTTCTGTTGGTTCTAACCAAGTTTATCAGTGCCCAGGTAGGGCCCTAGTGCACTTTGATTGCTCCCACTGAACCAGTTGTCCAGCTAATTTAAGCTTAAGAAAGAATATTTATCTTTTGATAGAATGCTGAAGTATATTTTCTTAAAAGCATGTTGCAGCTCTCAGTTCACGATTCAGTGTTATTAGGAAAACCATAATCAACTAATGAAAGCAGTAAGTAAATGGTTATTGAAATCAACGAAGCCAGTTGACTTGTGGAGTGTGGAACGGCTGAATTAGGGCTGGTAAGAAGCATATGTAGCTCAGTATTTTTCCCTTTAGTGAAAAAAATCAATAAGAACAGTGGTCATCAGTGGTTGCTGACATGGTAATCTTTGTATTTGCTGAAAGCAATGTGAACAGTTAGTAACTTCCTCAGATTGCTCTGCTAGCATTCAGAAATTAGAGCACTTTAGTGGACTTTGTTGTGAATAAAGTCCACAAATCAGTGGACTTTGTTGGCCAGAAGTAGTTTTCTGTGCTTAAGTGTCTCAGTGACTTTCTTGTGAGTTTGGTAACTAGTACTGAGACTGACCTTATGGGCACTTTGACTGCATTACATGCATGTTACTAACAGCAATATAAAATTTGCATTTTGCTTTCGAAGAATGTTGCTTCTGTGGCATAGATAACAAGATTTGACAAATGCTAGTAAAATAATGGCTCTAAGGTTTGCTTCTGTGCTTGGTTTTGATGGTGGTATTTTTGGGTTTTTTTTCCAGTTGTTTTTGCACTGTCTTCAGTTTTGCTTCAGAGAGTACTCCATATCTAAATGGGTTTGTCAAATTGGCAAAGAAGAATAGACAAACTCTGGTGTCTGTTGCATCCTGATTTATCCACTTTGCTTCTGACAGCCTATGAAGGAGATCTACTGCAGTGTGCCTGTGAACCTTCCGTGCAAACAGATAAGGTGTTTCCTTAGTTTTGATTTTTAGCATTGTTTGTGTAATGCATCATTTCAACGATTAACCTGAGCAAGTTGAAAGAAATTATGAATCAAAAGCTGTGAAAAGAAGTTGTATGTAATTTAAGTGACTTCTTACATTTTATTGCCAAAATTTTGGGCCTTTGATAATTTCTGGGATTTGAGAAATTTCTTTTTAATCTTGTTGGTGTGAAATATGGCAAGTACAGGGGACTATTATTTTTAATATCTTGATGTTGTTTGACAGCCTCTTCATACCATGGGCATAGTATCAGCTCCTGTGTTACTTTGTGTGTAGAGAGATGCTTTCTGCAGGTGGGGAAACACTTCAAATGATCAAGTGGACTTGACTAAAAAGGATAATTGCTTCCTATGACTTTCATGAAGGTAGCAAAACAAGTGGGTGTGTAGAGAAGCATTTTTTCATAGATGTGAATCTTGAAGAAATCTTTGCACATATGAAAAAGCAGTGCATTTTAAATGCTTGTGTTATATTTGGAATATTTTGGGGGGAGGGGGTAAGGCAAGGGGAATCTATTTTGATCATGTCTAGAATGAAAGTTTCTAGCCTTGCAAGATTTGTGTATGTGCTGAATGTTGAAAGGCAAAAGTATATTACTGCTTTTGGGTTTAGGTTTTAAAGCATTTTTGTCTCAGTTTGATATAATGAACATTGAAACTTGTGTAAAACTTGGGCATGATACAAGTTCACATATGGGATTTTTCTTTCCCCTTTCACATCGTTATTGATTCCTCATGCCCTGGAGAACCTTTCAGAAAGGCAGAGATGGAGGCCACAAGAATATTTTTGTGGCCTTAATGTAAATGCCACATGTTAAAGAAATTACATCTACAGAATTACTTTCCACTTCATGGTTGTAAGGACTGTTAAGAAGAGCAACTCCGGACCTAGAAATACTTAGCAGCCTGTTAGTGCTCAAAATGAGTTAACCTTATCAGGAGAAAATATAAAGGAAATTGACTGTTGCCTTGTTTAGCAGAGAAGATCTTGGCATTATTTGGAGCAAAATTAGTGACTTGTTTCATGCAAGATCCTGGGGAGAATTGTTTGTTGTTGTAGGAATGAGAAGCGAAGACTTCATCTTTCAAAAGAGAGTAAAATAAGAGGATATTTTTATTCTTAACTGTTTTGTTTTTTCAGGATTTTTCTGTTGGTGCGGTCAGTGTTGTGGGAGGGAACGTGAGGATGCAGAGGGAGATGTGGCAGTTTCCCTTGCTGCACATATGAGCAACTACAGCTTTTGATGAAAGAGCCCATTTACAGCAGTCAGTGGCAGTGCCTGCCATGGGCTCATCCATGAGTGCTGTGGGGAATGGCGACACAACCATGCAGTTTGCTCAGTTAAAGAGAATCAGAGCTTGAGCTGACTTGCTAGTTCTGTAAGCACTTTGTGGTAGTCTGCAGTTTCTGAGACTTTGTCCTGCCTGGGAGGGACTTTTATATAAAACTTAATTCAACATGAATGACAAATAATACACTTTTTTCCCCCTGCTTTTCTGGAGTTGAGCAGAGGTAAGGGTAAGGACTTGGCATGGCTTTAGCAATATTCAATTGTACTCCTTCGCTGGTGGTACCTGGAAAAGAAAAGAGCATCTATCTCCTAAGATAAATCTTGTTTCCTAAGTCCTTTGCTCTGAGTAGGAAAATGAAATATCTTGTATTGCTGGGTTATTTTCTGTGTGCATTTTGGGTTTTTTAATAAGTCTGATTTATTCCACAAATAATTTGCTTTGCAGGAATTTCTGTTTTCAACCAGTGCTGGCTGAGCTGAAACTTCCTGCACCGTGTGGAGAGCATGTATAAAAGGAATGACTTCATGGCCAGTGTGATGGTCACCTCTGCCACTCCAGAGGTACAGTTCGTTGGGTTTTATTAGCTCCTGTATCAAAATAGAAATTTTGGCTTGTTTCAGCTTTCACAGAAGCCCTTTCCACTGCTAGTCACATACTACACCATTTGTAAGAAAAAGAACTAACATGGCAAGAGAGTAATTACAGAGCACTCCATGGTTTTTGGTGTTCACAGCCATGCTTTTTTATTGTTGTTGTTAATGATTACTCATTTTGTTTCATTTTAAATGGCACTTTTGACCTGTTACTCTGTAACTTAGAGTAGCCATGTATTATTGGTGAGTTCAGAGCAATGTAATATACCATCAAAATGGAGTCAGTCATTTTGAGATTAAATTAATCATTCTGCAGATAAGCCTACTATTTTTTCTTTTTAGGGTAGTAGCAGCTCAGATTCCCTGGAAGGGCGAAGTTCAGATTATGCCAATAAAAGCTATGATGCAGTTGTATTTGATGTGTTGAAAGTAACTCCTGAGGAGTTTGCTGTAAGTATAAATGTTATTTTTGCATTTAAGCTTATATAATACTCAGGGTTGCAGAGTATTAAAAAATATATGAAATATTTTTTCTTAAAAAACCCCCAGCTTTTAAATAAACCTCCAGTGTTTTTGAAAACAAATTTCTGACTTTATCAACTTCAATAAAATAATCCTGTCTTGGGATTTAATCATGTAGTACTGACCTGACACAGCATATTTGTTTTACTTTGCATTTTTTTAAGTCTTTAAGAGACCCTAGCATAGGCTAGTTCTGGTTAGTAAGAAATATGTGTATGGTTTGTAGTTACCGAAGGGCAGATAGAAATACATCATTGTTAGCTCTTCATATTACACAATGTAAAATTCTGTCTTCATTTCAGAGCCAGATAACATTGATGGATATGCCAGTATTTAAAGCTATACAGCCTGAGGTAGGTTTTCTTGAACCATCTTTGGAAATCAGTGCCTGAAGAAATGTGACGATTCAAAGAATGCTTTTTTTGTTCAAAAATGCTCACTTTCTTGCACTGCACTAATGTTTTTCTAGGTATATTCCCTATTAGTACTGTGAATCTGTAATCCAGCATGAGTTACTTTGGTTTGTCATCTGTTGCCAAAGGGGATAACTATGCTTTTCTGGAAGTCTTCTTGTCTTGCTTTGAGTGGAGTGTTTCTTCAGGATAAGTTTATCAAGTGCAAAAATTTTCTATTCTCCCTTCTGCTGCTGTTTTTCAATTCATATCTGATTTCAGACTTTTGACTCCTGCCTCTGGCCATAATCTCAATTTTAGACTGCATCAACTGCTTTATAAGCTTCTTAATTTTAAGATTCAGAATAATAAATGCTGGGATTAAATTAGCGCAAACCCTTAAAAGTTAGTCTTTTAAGATTTTAACCTTTTTAGAAAGACACATAAGGGAACCTGAGGCCTGTTGAGGAAAAGCAGTCAAAGTTAACAAAGACGTTTGAAAATCAGTAGTAAGAACTTGAGAAATGAAGAATAAAAGTAGTTGTCAGAATATGACAAATTTGGGTAAAATATGATAAATTTATTTACTGCAAAAGGTACGAGAATCACGTGACTCCTGCTTCAGGTGTTTTGACTACAAGACCATGTATCCATTGTGGCTTGTTGTCTTCTTGTTCTTAGGTTGGAATATCATGGTTTTATGAAGGGCAGCCCATGCTCCCCCATAATGTCAGCAGAACTGAATATCTGACATCAGTAGGGGCAGTCAAGTTTAGAAGGTTTTTAGTGGAAGGTCCAGCCACCTAATTAGGTCACTAACAAAACAAGTCATCATTTATTACAGTAGTTCAGAGGGATTAGCAGACTTCTATTTTGAGAAAATATAGGAAGGAAATAAAAAATTTGTCTATCTGTTGTCTGTCCTTCCTGTCAGATAATTCCTTTTTTTCCCCCAAGAACACCAAGAGAGTTTTATAGCTGAAAACACTCTCATGCTTCTGAAATTGCGTGTGTGCTCCAGGCTGTTGGGGAGAATTTTCTTTCCTGTGGGGAAGAAAATGGCTAACAAATAATGCAATAAGAAATTAACAATGCCTATAGAAAAATCTGCTAGCAAAAGATTTTCTATATGTACAAATTGATACATAGATGCTTTTCTATGAGGAAGTTTTGTTTCGACAAATATCAGGACAAAACAGGGGGTTTTTTTTATTCTAACTACCTTTGCCAAAAGCAGAGGTAGTGTCATACTCTGAGGAGATGAACGAACTAAAAAACAAAATGCAAAACTATAGATGTTCATTTTTAAAGCAAATTTTGAATTTACTTTAGTTGCTATGAAACATGTGCTATAGAATTTTATAGCAAAAAATATCCCAAAACAATTGATTTGCTTTTCTTCTTTTCCTTTGTAATTGCTTCATTTTGCCTTTTGGAAATGAAATTCCCTAAAGTGCTACTCTGGCAAGCAGATGTAACTCACTGAGGAGTGATCAGAAGGAAAACTATTGTATCTCCAGCTTCTGCTAGAATATAGATCTTTGGATATGTAGCAGTTACCATGAACTATTAGTTGTTAATTGTGCTTTCTGATTTTCATTTTATTGGAATCATCAATATAGTTTGTTTGCCAAAAAGAAACAACTGCTTCTATCCTGAAATTCTGCCAACTGTAGGACTACATTTTAAAGCCAGAAATAGTTTGTGTATTTGTCATGAAACTCTCCCTTGCTATTAGTTAAGTTATTAGACTAAGAAAGTTAACATTTTCTAGTTGAAATTTAAGGTTTTATTATTTTAACATGACCTTATGCATGGATGGAAATACCTAAGATTTTAGAGTTTTGGTTGCCAAGTCTTATCTCAAACACACAAACATCCTTTAAGTGTGCTATTTGCTGAGGCTTTTTCCTGTTCTTCAACAGCTATTACTAAGAAACACATCTGCATTTTACTTTGCAGAGTTTAGAAAAAGGATGTCTAGTTAATAATTCTTTGTTCTCCAGCAGAAATAATTATGCTTACATTTTAGATTTCTATGTGACTTCATTTAGATTTTTTTTCAAGTCCTGAAATTGCAATCTCCACAAATTTCAAGGTTTTGCACACTTGATGGGAATGTTTCCTGTGACTGTGCTCACTGAGGAAACTGCCAGCATCCCTCCATACAGAAAAAAAAAAAAAGACAAAGTGTAATTCTCAAACACACAGGGGCATTTTGAATCACTCTCTTTTATCAACCTTCCTATTCAGTCTGAATTTAAACCTAAAATGATTTTGCCATACACAGGATTTTCCCTCTTGCAATCACTTAATATCCTTAGGTTACTGATCTCTTCCACTTTTCTACCAAAGGTAAGTTTTGCTGTCCCTTGTAGAATATCTGAGGTTTTTTTCCACATAAATATATGATTTCTAGTATCATAAGACCAGACATGGACTTTTCATGTGGAGAATCTGTGTCCTGACAGATGCAAATTGGCATTTTTATCTGCCAAGTTTTAAGTGCTGGAGATGGGGATTCAGAATGTGTTTGGAGCTGAAAATGCTTTTCCTGCTGCTCACACAGGCATGTACAGATCTCTAGAGTGTGTTCCATTTATCAGCATTACAAAGTGCTTTTCAGAGGCAGAATTCTCTTTGGCTGACTCTGCCTTTTCATATGAAGGTGTCTAAAATTAGTAGTGTACATTTGCGAAGTTGAACAACATTTTGATTGAAATTGAGACTTGTGGTTCTAAAAAACAGAAGAGTGATTTAGAATTAGTGTCAAGGAGAACTCATTTCTGTTTTTTAAGGCAATTTTTAAATGTGTTTCCTAGGAACTAGCCAGCTGTGGATGGAATAAGAAAGAAAAACACACCCTTGCTCCAAATATTGTTGCCTTTACTAGGAGATTTAACCAGGTATATAATTTGATTACTGTGATGAACAGGTACTGTTTGACAGTTGTCTTTGAGTGTAAAGTTAAACGGAACTACTCATGTGAATTAAAACCTGTTTTTCCAAATGAGGATTAAGATTTTTAAATTACAACTCCTGTTTTCAATTGCTTTGTCCACATTTTCATGTTGTTCCTCTAGACCCCTTGTTCCTAATTACTAGTTCCTGATTTGTTTTGCTGTGGTGCAACAGTAGCAATATTTTTTCTTTTTTTCTGGGTCTCACTTGTGCATTCAGTTATCTTGGTGTTGTCTCACTTCTCTACCTCTTATGCTGGTAATGCTTCAGGGCAATTGCAGTGATACAGATGAGAATTCATGGGATCAGAAATCTTTTCTTTCCTTACCCTGTTTTTTTCCTGGAGTATTGTGAGAGTTTGCAAATATTTCATCTAATAGACTAATAAAGTCCGTTTTTTTGGTAACAAATTAAAGTTTTATGTGTTTACTTTTATAGGTCAGTTTTTGGGTTGTACGAGAAATATTAACAGCACAGACCTTAAAAATAAGGGCAGAAATACTGAGCCACTTCGTGAAAATAGCTAAAGTAAGTGCAGATTTCTTACACTATCGTTCAAAACCTTAACTCCTTCGTGTTTGTTTCTGCACTACTCCTGTGAGCCCTTGTTGGACTGCAGAGGGTAACAATTCTGTTTTAGCACATCTGTTATGTTGTACTACATGATTAAGATAAAGGAAAAGAACGAGAACTGTTCTTTTCTGCTTGGTTAGATGAACCTACCCAGTTCGGTGTGACTCATCTTGTACCTCTACCTACCAAGTTTAAAAGTGGTTTGAGTTGTTGGTGGCTAATTGTGTGTTGACAACATCAAATGTGGTTGTAAATGTTTCTGGTTTTTGTCTCCCACCATTTTAAAACTTAACTTTTTGAAAAGAAATTCCTTGCTTCTAAAATAGCTATTGTGAGACTTGTATTCCTGCTTGCAATATGTAGTTGCTGGTAAAAAGCACTGCTTTTAAAGCTCCGTTATTTTATTGAGTTTGAGCACTGCATTTTACACATAACTTTAAAACAAACAAATTTTAAAATATTTATCACTTTCACGACCTGCAGTCATTCTGTTTTATGTGACCCTGAGTGACACAGCACTTGGATCAAAGTCCCAAGTGCGAATTTTTTATGTGTGAAATTGCATATGTGTGTAGGTAATTAAAATAATATTTTCTGTGTAGTACAAAACAAATTTTCTATTGTGCATATTTCCAATCAATTTACTTAGCAGTTTTGTACTTTGAGAAGAAAATTTATCTGAGTAAGTTACTGGAACAAAACAATAGTCCAAGTAACAGGAGAATGTTCGACTTGGAGGTCCTCGGTTGTTCTTAGAAATAAGAGTGGTGGTGTTTGGGGTTTTTTTAGCCTGCATGAGGGGGAACACTGCCCTCTTTCCTTCTCTTGCTTTTTTACTTTTCCTGCTTTTCCCTCCATAAAGTCCAGATCTTCCTTAAATGCTTCTGAGCAGTGAGTAAATGGCTCAGTCAAGGATGAATCCAGCCTCTTCTTAGGCTTCACAAAGAAGCTATGTGACACAGTTCTCATTTTTCTATTTTACATTTTTATGCTTGTTGTAGCAAGCATTATCATCTTGACAGTTTTATTCCAAAGTATTGTCTGCCTGAGATCAGTGTGTTTTGAGTAATTGTCAACACACAGAGTAAATTCAAAATACATTGAAGTGAGGTAAATTTTTCCTATACAACAGATTACAAAGGTAAAAGTTGTGTTAATTCTGAGAGGGTTGTCAGCATCTTCCTGTAATGTTTTTGCTTGATTAAATATTTGATTTCTAAAATTACATTACTCTTTTCAAGAACAATGCATCGAATACTTTTTTCCTATTTTCTGTTCCTGAAGGAATAGCCTTAGAAAATGACAAACTGAAATCAAGTACTGTTTGTGTTCTCGAAACTGAAATGCCTATTTATTGATGGGTATACTTGTAAAATTAGCAACTCTTAAAGTGGTCTTAAGAATCTTGCACATGACAGCATTGGGATAATATTTTGTCTGCAGTCATAGATGAAAACTTTGTATTTTATTAATGAAAAATAATGGTTTATTAATGCAACTTTTATATTAATTAATCCTGCTTCCTTTTCCAATGTGCTAAAAGCTATTATTCCCTTTCTTCAGAAGCTTCTAGAACTGAACAATCTTCATTCTCTTATGTCTGTGGTGTCAGCACTGCAGAGTGCACCTATCTTCAGGCTCACCAAAACTTGGGCTGTAAGTGTTGCCTTGACCCTTGTCCCTTCTGTCTTGTTGGAATTCTGAGGTTCTTTGGAATTTGTCATATTGTAAACTCTAGAGGAATACGCTTTTATGTTCTTGTTTTTGTGGTACTGTAGCAGAAGCAGTGGTCTGTTACATGTTTTGTGAAAAACAGAGTTTTTGCTGCATCTATTTTCCTGTAAATTTCCTATTTCCCTGTGTGTTCTAGAAGCCACTGGTTGTATGCTCAAGAAAACTTCTGTTGATAAGTAATCTTAGAACACCCTTGTACAGAACGTGTATCAGTGTCCCCTTATCCAAAACATAGCCTATCATTTAATACATTACCTAAAAGGAAGGAAAAAGGCATGTTACAAATATACAAGCATTAATGTTGTGATTATTGTGTGATGCATTTCAGTTTTTATTTATGTTAGAAATAAAAAGCATTGATAATTCTATTTTCAGAAATTCCATCTCTGGAAGGTAGAATTTCTTAGCCATACTTGGAGTAAATTTAAATATTTCTTTAAAGAGGAATACACAACTATAGGTTATTTCTACTCCATGTAGTGTTTAACTATACAAATGTTTGGGTAATTCTCATCCATTCCACACACCATGGATCACATTGACTGTTCAGACCTTATAAGTCTTATAGTTCAGAGCTTAAGTCTTGGATAGGTTTATCAAGCTTTTAAAATGCTTGCAACTATTTTATGATTTAATTGCTCAGAATGAGGTTATAATCTAATAAAAAAGTAAATGCCTGATGTTTTGAGCAGCTCGATGAAGCTGGAAATGGATAGGGAGAATTGCTCATGTGTGAGATGAAGTATGTGACTAATTTGACTTAGACCTAAAGAGGTGCCAGGCTCTTTGTTGGCACAGTAGTTCAAAAATACAATACATTGCAGTGGCAGGGCCTCGAGCAATTCTCAGTGGTGCTAAAAAGAAAACAGCAAAATTATTTTGATATATTCATTTCTATCCTTTCTATGTTATTTTTTTATTAACTAGACTTAAAAGCTAGGCAGTACGAGAACTGGAATTTTCCAGAGGAAAAGGTGTATGAAAGAATGTGCTATGGAGCAGCTGTCTCTTGTCAGAAAGGACACATGCAAGAAGCCAGTGTACAGTGCCATAATTCTCCACTCACTCCTAACTCAACTGGCTTTTAAGACCATCTTAAAAATATTTCTGGGGTTTCTTAAAACAGCAGAAACAGAAAATGTGTTCTTATAGCTATGTTTCTTATAAACATAGAAAATGTGATCTTATGTTTACTTTTCAGCCCCCTGTGACTAGGATTTTTGCATTCCTAAATGTTTTTTCTAGATTTCTGTAATAAGTCTAATAAATAGAAAACATGGATTTAATACCACAATAATTTACTTTGCATATACTTTTTTTCTGAAAAGTTTTGTCATACTTTTAATAAGGTACTGTTGAAATGGCATTTCATTGAAATGGCACAGTTTGCATTTATTTAGAGGATTTAACATTGCTCTTTTTACTCTTAAGTTTAGAGGATTTCTAGCATCTCTGCTAAGTTATGAGAATGTTGGTGACTGTATTATAGCATACTTTTTCCTCTAAAAATGTATTATTGCTGAGGTTATTCAAAACTTACTTAGCGATATGAGAATCACTGACAAATTAGTCAGAAATAGTGGTCATGTTTTTTCATAGCTTAAGACCTACACTAAATGGCCTTTTTTAAAAACAGGTAGCATGTTTTCAAACATTGTGCTGCTTTGGATGATGATGATAAATTTAATCTTAACTAGACTATGTTCTCCTTTACTCTGGGCAATTCAACAAGTTACTGACTGTTAGTTTTGTGTGGATTTGTCCTTGAAAATTTTGTGATCTCCATTTTCTCTGTAGCTTTTGAATCGGAAAGACAAGACCACCTTTGAGAAGTTAGACTATTTACTGTCTAAGGAAGATAATTATAAAAGGACACGAGAGTACATCAGAAGCTTAAAAATGGTTCCTACAATTCCATATTTAGGTGAGTGTGAACAATTACCTTATTTATCTGTAGCTCATTGACAGACGAGTGCTAATGTACCATGTTGTGCACCTGAAGAACCCTGTATGTAGAAGAATGGTTCAATATATTTCATATTTGGAAAAGTTAAGTCAGGTTGAGATTTTTGGGCTATACAGATGTTTACATACTTTTGGAAGGAGTTTTTCTCTCAGGTGCTGAATAAATATACATGTAATTCAATGTGAAAATGTATTAAAAGGGAGACCTGCAATTAAAATGCTGTCCAGCCTTGATATTGTCTCCTTTTCTTCTGTGACATGCACAGAGTAGCCATTTGATGAATTGGTTTTTTGGTCGGTTTTCACCTAGAAATATTTCTGCATAAAGGTTATTGTTATGAAAGTAGTCCAATATAATGAGCTATTTTCTGGCTTTATTAGTGATTTCATCAGATGCTAAACTGCAGCTAAAAAGAATAAATGTTTTTAAATTGGTGACCCTGGGTAACAAGAGATCAAAAATTCTGCTTAGCCTTCCTGTGCCAGAATTGCTATCTGTATTGCTAACCCCTAATGCCTCAGTAGATTTATCTTCTGTGAACATTTGCACTCTTGCTTTAAGCACACATAAACTTGCATACACAATACACAGCTGGCAGGATTTCTTCAACTCTGTCCAGTACCACATTCTTTTGCTTGAATTGAACATGGTAATTTTTACCTTCACTAGATAAACCCTACCTTGTTCCTTACACAGCTTGAGACTACTCCTGACATTATGGACTTCAGTCATTATCTGTTGCCTTCACAGTAAATCTTCAATTACCTCTCTTCCAAAAGGAAGAGTCCTTGGATTACTTGATCATGTCTTGTACAGATGCCACTTGGCATCCTTGACAACTTGCCTGGGCAGCGTTTCAGTCCTGTATCCTTTTTTTAGGGGAAGAGGGTGCACATGAAGTGTACTGCCTGCAAAATTTAAGATAGAAATGCAGGTTATATTTTATACAGTTAATTCAGGAAGCTTTTTGTGCTCTACTTAATATTTTCTGACATTCAGCTACCTCAAAGCTTAGTAGCAATCACAGAGTAGCAAGCATGAACTGTTTGTAATGCTAAGTTTATGCCTTTATTGGCACTGGTTTGCTCTTCTTGTTTTGTATGGAAAGTCAGGATTCTTTGTTTTCCCCTTGTATGTAACACTGTCTGTAGATTTTCATCTTCTGTTTTACTGTCCTAGCAGTTTGTCTTCCATAATTCCTATCAGTCTGCCCTTCTCTTTGCTTCTCTAGTTAATAAATATCATTAGCAGATTTTTGTTTCTGTTAATTCCCATTTTCATATCACTTATGAATAGGTCCAGCAGCATGAGTCCTAGTACAGCTTGCTGTGGGAAACAATCAGCACTACTTATCTAAAATATTTCTTATTTAATAAAATTGACCACCACTCCTAATGGCCGTACTTTTAAAACTGTATTGAAAGCTTGGTATCAGTTACTGAAACTGCTTTGTAAATAATTTCAGATTTGAATGAATATTTAGCTTATCAAAAGAGAATATTCAATTGAGACTCGTTTCAGTGAATAAATGTCTTCTCAAGGAAAGACAGCATTACTTACAGAACAGCTTCTTTATTTTGTGTAAATGAACAAGTAGACCAATAGATGATTTTAGGAGTAACTACTGAATATAAAACAACTGAATTGAGAATGATCAGGTGTGAGGATTTGCAGAGTTCTTGGGGATCCTGTTTTGTGCTGTAGAGCCTCTTGTCTCACTGCAAGAAATTTACTTGGTTGTGAGAGAGGTTCTTATTTTATCTGTGGAAGCCTGAGATTGCTTGATATGAGTTAGAGGATGTACTGGGAAATTAAAATTGCCACTGAAGTTTTCCAGTTACTCTGGTTTATAGAATTAGCTCACAGCCTTGTGTAAGAAATGTTTTAATACTACCCAGTTATTACTAAATCACTCCAAGCCACTTTTATACAAGATTTAAAATATTTCTGAAATGAACATGTGTGTTACAAGCCTAATAAAAGACTTGGGTAATGAAAGGAAAAAAATTGCATGTTTCCTTCCTAATCCAACTTGAATCTTAAATTCCTGCTGGTCTTTAGCCAGTCTCCTTGAGACTTTGAATTCTCCTGCATATGTTGTATCTTGTTTCATACATGAGACCCTCTCCCTGCTGATGGCAAAGACTAGGCAGTATTGCTCTTCTTGTAAAGTAAGGCTTTCCCTGCATTCTGAGAGGTGCAGTTGGACATTTTGTGTAACCAGATGAATACAGGAGACAACTACTGTTACGTTTCCAACCTCAGGCTATAATATGAGAGACTAGTATTTACTATGTTTAAAAGTACCTGTTAAACATCCAACAGTTGTTTTGTTTTCAGACAGGTCTTTCAATTTTTAAAAGGGAGAAGAGAAAGAAAGAAAAAAATCATGAGATTGGCAAGGCTGTGATGTGGACTGTTGGAAGTGTTTAGCCACAGTGTGATTTAAGAAAAAATAGCACTCACATTGTTTTGAAAATTCGTGGCTGTAATTGCTAGTTACAGTGTTTTCTTGTCTTCACTGCTGGTGGTCTTTTAGATTGTCTCTGTATGTCACAGAACAAACAAAGTTGGGTATGATCTTATCATCTATAGATTTGTTGCACTGTTTGCTTCTTTTCCACTTGGAATATAACAGTGGGGGTAATTATGAAAACTTTGAATGATAATCGAACAGTTTCAGGAAAGAATTCTTTGGAAATTTGTATACAAAAGAATAACTAGTTGTCTTCTCAGGTTACATCAATCTTGTGGTAGCCTTTTGTCTAAATGCTATAGGTGGAGCCCCATTGTTTCATTCCTGATATATAGATAATGTATTAGTTTGACAGCATCTTCTTTACACTTCTGAAAAAGGTAGAGATATTTCAAAAATTCAGAAAAGCAATGTCAGCTTCCTATGGCACTGCTTGAAATGGAGGTTTACAGGAGAATTGCAGTTGCTAGTGATCCTCTCCATAGGGCTGCAATTTTCTCTTGCATAAAGTCACCTGATGTGCTTTTGCTAATGATAGGAAAGTGTATGGTATGGGATTTTTAGACTGCAGGGTTGCCAAAGATGTACATTTGTGAGCAATGAAGTAGTGTAATTGAAACCTTTGGAAATAATTAGGGAAATGGGAAAAACTAAGGCCTTTCACAGTTTGTAGTAATGTCATCTACTACAGTAGGTGGACCTAGTGCAAACTGAGTTCTGTTGTGTGGTTTTTCTTTTTAAATAAGCATAGTGGAATCTGTGGTTCTGCCAATGTACTTGCCAATAACTTCACAGTATAAGTTCCAAATCCCTAATGTTTAATTACTTTTGATATGCCAGGCTCTGTGTTTAAAATTATTTTATGCAAATATGCAAATTTTATGCAAAAAATTTAGTAAGTTCTGTTCTCACATGTGGTATCTCCAGGTAGTCATGGACCGACTTCTGTGCATTATCTTTTTTAATTACATGGAAGAGTATCTAGGTAAATGACTCACCTTTTAGGTAAAAGGTTAAGAAATATTATTATTTTAACAAAAGACTGTCAGCTTGAACATGGGTTTAAAGCCTATTTTGAGTGTATACTATGAAGATGTATTTCCAGCCATATCTCCAGCTACAGAAGACCAACTGTAATAGCTTTTCTAGGGAATGCCTCATCTTGAGATCTGCACAGTAGATACCTGAACTTCTCTGGGTTTTTTCCTCAATCCAAGCATGAAGTAGCCTTAATGCTACTAATTGTAAGAGTACTGCAGCCAGACTTTAGGGCCAGTAGGTGCATTTAATATTTCTAATCTAAAATACAAATCTTTTCCAGAACTGAATAGATAACCCCATGGAAGATAAAGCTTGAATACTGTTTGGGAAATGTGGGTGTTTCATATAACCCTCAAAAAGTTGCTCCTCCTTGGGCTGTGTGGAAATTCTGTATTTTTTTCAGCTGAAAATTGTTTTGCTTTTTTATGTTGCAATATTTCAACACTTCACACACATCAACAGTGGTTGCATATCAGAGTTTGTTTGAATCAGAGGCAGACTATTGTGTAGTAATCTGAACTACAACAAGATGAAATCTCAACATGTTAAAATAACATTTGGTACTTTATTAAGGGTTACAATATTACAGGGGTAATCTAATATATTAAAAACCCTACTTTCAGTTATATACAGCACATGCTACGTCACACATCATACTGTGGTAAAGATGTGATGAGGTAATAAGGGAAAAGTATGCAAACACACACAAACACTCAGTGTCATACAGGCTGACCAAAAAATATGTTGAACTTCTAGAGGCTTTCACTCTGCCTCTTTTATGCATTCTTTAACTTGTATTTTTTGTAGTAGTTTGTTTGTAATGGGTGTGTTGACAATCTGTTATAGAAACCTATCTCAGAAGAATATTAGAATTACTCCAGTCTGTATTTCATACGTATGACTGACCTCTAAATATGAGTAAATCTGTTTAATAATTTGACAGTAATAATTGTGAAATATGTTTAAAATAACTTTTTTGCTATGGATAAGTTCTCTATATAATTTTTTATCTAAAGGCTAAGGTTATTAAATAGCTTATAAATTGGTATCCATCATTTGCCTGCAAAGTTGGATAGACCCTTTAATTTGTATCCAGCCATTTCTGAATATAGAGGCTACACAGCAGGTAATCACTGAAGTCGGGTACAAAATACCGTAACAGTTGTGTAGTATAACATGTTGGCTATAGAGCACAGAATACCTATTATAAATCTGGATTAATTTCCATATGCAAGTAGCTACTTCATTTTGGTAAGAAATAATTAATGTTTTTAATCTAAAATATTTGAGTTAATGGTGAACTTTCATAGGAGCAGATTATTTAAATGCACATAGTGAAGGGAAAAGACCGGATTTATCAGGACAATAATGGTTTGAGTATCTGCTCTCAAAACAGAATTATATAGTTCTAAATTTATTCATGGTAGTTAACAAAGATTACATAATCATCACACTAATGTACATATACCAGCTACATAGTTCAAAGGATATGATTCCTGTGTCAAATGATTGCTTATAATAACAATAATAATAATAAAACTCTTACTGTACAGTTTGTAGTATTTCCTGTATTTGAGAATATTTATACATAACATACAAAAATACTTAAATGTGGTGGCAATATTTTTATCTTCCAAACTTAATTTACAGGGAATAAAAACCAGGAAGTTTATCTACAGTTTTCATGTAAACTGCAAGTTCTAATAGGACCAAGAGGTGTTCTGAATGTTATTACAGTTCCTTTTCTTCAGCTCTTTTTCTGGGCATGATTCTTGAAAATATAATATACAAGCCCTCATACCTTATCAATAAATGTACAGTATCTTACATTCCTCATTTCTGAAAAGATAATTTCAGGTGATAAAATCATAGCTTTATGTGATTTTTAGAAGCAAACCAAGAGAAGAGTTATTTCAGTGAAATGTGTTAGGGTTAGGTCTTATCATCATAACAACTTTCTTTAGTGAATATGATCCTCCCCGGAATTCAGCCCAGTAAACACCATCCTGATACCGACTGCGGTAGTGTCCTCCACGATACCAGACTCCATTGAGATTTGAGTGAGCACATGCATTGTACCACCATCCTCCCTTCTGGTAATGAGCACAGTTACCTGCAAAAGAAAGCTCCAGTTCAGGCTGAGAAGTAAATGAAAAATCTTCAAGCAAGCATAGTAGCAAACTTCACTGGATGGTTGGCTGGTTGATCTGGGCTTTTTTTTAGTATGTTTAACATGTAGATATCCTGTGGTAGAAAGTGAACTTAGGCTTCTTCAGGAACCAGCAAAGTAGTTAGGTTCTACAGATAGAATCCTTTTTGTTACTTTCTCTTGCCTGAAAATCAGCGGGTGTTACTGTGTCAAATAACCATTCATAGTGTATTTTACAGACCCTTGTCTAGTGTAAAAACTTTTAATTTTGGTGTTAGTATGTATAAGGGTTGACACATCAGTTTGTATTTCATAAGGTACTAATTGACAAATCCCTTTGTAAGTGCAATTTTTTTTTTTTTTTGTATGTATGACCATAAGTATGTTTCCTTTTTCAAAAGAGATAAAAGGGGGTCGGGGGGGACAGGGATGTAAATGCAAAAGTGGCAAGGCAGCTGAGAGGGACCTCCTACCTGTATATACATCGTGGTCCCGGTCTAGCGTGGTGAACTGTTTGCCATTGTGCCAGGTGAAAGAATCTCCCGCGTTGCCGTTGTAGCGTCCCAGTCTCAGCTTGTAGTACTCACTCTCTGGCTCCAGTCTGAAGCTGGCATACTCAGCAAATACTTTTCGACCTGACCAGTCTTCCATTGTTATGAGCAGTTTGTAGTTGCCTTGATTTGTTAACCAATAGATGTTTTCTAATCCAAGCCAATATTCTCCATCTATATTACCAAATCCTTGCTGTAAAGGAAGCAAGAGAAGCATGTTAATGTCCTGCATCTGTGTTAGTGGTAAATCTGAGTGTATTCTTAAGTAGAAAACTGCAGTAAACTTATTTTATAGAGAATTATCTTCTGAAGGGTAAACACACAAGTTCTTTTTCAAGTAGGCTCTTGGCCAGACTCTAAAACCACCCTTTTAAATTAACTTTATCAGTAAGTTCTAGAGGGTGGAAAACATTAATTGGCTCTCTTGTCCTAACCTTGTATGTTTCCCAGTTCCTGAAAAAGTTGACAGAGCCATCCAGCCGTCTCTGAATGACAGTCCAGCCACCAGGGTCATGCCGTTGGTCACACCAGACCTGCATAAGCTGGTTTGTGTTTTCTGGTTTTACAAGATAGATGGAGCTTGTGTCATGGCCGTCTTCTAATGCTTGTAGACAGTCTCTCCAGGGCCCTGTGTCAAAACAGAAAGGCTCTGCATCAAGCTGCCACTGAGCATTTCTTTAAAGCAGGGCAGTATTTGAGCTGGTAGCTTTTTGTACTAGTTTGATTTCACTGAATAGCGTATTTGTTTTTCCTCTTATTAGAGGACGAGTATTCACCAAGTGTTTTCAAACAGATCCATTTATTGTAACATTATTTCTGGAACATTTCATAATGCGTTACTGGTAAAGGTAGATTTTGAAAAAAAAAAAAATTTAAGGCAGCTGCACTGGTACTTTTACCATCAAATATATATCCAAAGAAACTAAATAGGAATACTGCATAGATAAGTAAGAATTTCCTTTAGAAAACAAAACAGTAAGTTTGACCTTGATTCTGTCTTTGAGAAATTCAGCTTTTTTGATCCCCAAAAATGTCACTGGCACAGGCATTAACTGTGGAAGCAACAACATAAATTCAGGCTGTAGGTCTTACTGCTGCCACCTTAATAAATTACAAGATAACATAGAAATTAAGTTTTTTTTTTTTTTCTTTTTAACATAGGGTGCTTGTGAGAGAAACTTTTATATAAATGACAGGACTCAATATACTTTGAATTCACAGAAATTGCAGTTAACATAGTCTTGTTTTCAGTTCAAGAGAGTCTATAAAGAGCTTATGCTTTTTGAAAGTATCTTATATTCCTGTTTTTTCAATAAATTTTCTCCAGTGGTATAATAGATTCTGTTTTAATGAATCTGAGATATTCAGAAATATCACCTGCCTTGATTCCTCAGCAGAAGGGTGAAGTCAACAAGAATCATCAGGATTAGAGATTAGAGCCCCTGGATTGATTCTGCCTGCCCACTGAAGGAGTAAGGCTTGTCAGATCTTCTGACTAGGAGCCTTACTGAAGCATATACTGCTATCAAGAGTAATTTCTGTTTTAAATTATTTCAGTCCTATGGTTTTTCATATGCATTGTCCAACACTACTAATGGTACTCAGCAAATGCTTTAGAAATAAATTAGTTTTATAGAAATAATCTCAGTGTTTTGAAGATTAAAACACTGAGGTTTTGGTATTTTTAACTATTTTAATCAGCAAGTCAGTGTACAAAGAGGCAATCCAAGTCTTTGTTCTGTGGATGCTGTGTTCTTGTTGCCTCAGTCATAATCAGAGACTGTACCTGGAGCTGTACTTATAAGCCCCTTCTCCATTTCTTTTGGTGCTAACTGTTTAGATTTCTTGCAGTTAAGATATAGATGCCATGCTCTTGTCACACCATTGCATGGCTCATTATGAGAGGTGGGGAAAAAAATGTTAAACCAGAGCAGTTTAAATTATTAGTGCTCATTATTTTATCACAATGTGTAGTGGCACTGACTAAAAATAAAAAAGTAAGTAATTATTGAAGAACTTCTAAAATAGTCAAACAGCTTTGACCTTGTCTTTGTAAAAAAATATACAGCAGTACACAATGTAGTATTTACACTGTTCTAATCTTGCAGTTTCTTTTATGGCACATGGCAGCAGTGCTCTACTCCATATGAATCTTTTTTCTGAAAGTGATTTAAGATGAACTATTAGAAGCACGTCAAAGTAGAATTTGCTACTACTTTTTCGTGACAAGTGCTTTTTTGTCAGGTAGGAACCTTTTCAACATTTTAGCTAGGGTATTTTCCCATGAAAAAGTGAGAGCACCCTGAATTTTAAGGTAGGTAGTTTTGATAAAATTGTCTTTAGGGAGTTGTAGAATCACAGAAAGGCTTGGGTTGGAAGGGATCTTAAAGTTTGTTTCATTCCACCTCCTTTCCACAGGCATGGACATCTTCCACTAGACCAGGTTGCTCCAAGCCCCATCCAGCCTGGTCTTTGACACTTTCAGGAATGAGGCATCTACCAAAAAAAACCAACAAAAAAACCACAACCAGAAAACAGTGTGAACAAAGTTAAGAGTGAAGCTGCTGAGACTAGTAAGACTGTAATAAGTCTGTAATAGAGAGAATACTGGTCTACTACTTTTTGAGAAAGGGAGACTTTCAACAGATTAATAGAAGACATTTACTATTTTTCTTGTATTTCACTCCTGTTTTCATTGCACAGGTTGGCTGTGATCAGGTGCAGGCTTTGCTGCACTACTTTTGGCAATTCTGTGAAAATACTGCTTTGTAGCAAAATGTTTTAGAGACTTATAGACTCAAGAGACTCAGTGCTTACTTGCTCGAGTTTCTTTCATTGTGAGTATTTCCATGGAGAAACAATACAGGGGTTGTTTGGTTTTGAACGTGTGGCAGTTGCATTATTGGGTAGTCGTTAAAGTTTGTGACGTCCTTGATGTCCTTTGGAATATTTTGCAAATAGCCATGAAATATATTCAGTGCAGTTCCCCTGCATTACTCTGTTACAGTTAGCTCTGAGTTCAGAGATCTGTGACTCTCTATCTTTTAATAAGGGCTGTATAATATCCTGTTACTATTCCACCACTTACTTCCTTTTGCTCCTGTGTACAGCACAAGTGTCCCATATAAAGTACAGAGCAGATACTTACTCCTTTTTTAATTACACAAGCACATTATCAGATGCTAGATCAAAAAATTTGTAATAATTTCATATGTTTACACAGTGTCAAACTCCTTCAGATGTCATGAATTGTAGCAGTTCAGTCTTGAGCAAAGGTAAATAAGATTTAGATTACTTGAATTGTAAGATTTTTCTGGAAGTCCTTTTCTTATACATGTAGTATAAATGATGGGTTTGTCTTAGTAAAGTAACATGAGAAAAATATGTGGGGCTAGAGTGTCTTAGACATTCACAGGGGTTTTTTTGCTTTCTTTCTGTGCTTCTACTACAGCATGTATGTAAAATTCACTAGCTAAATAAATTCTGACTGCATTTTTGATATTACAATAAAAATGTTGCCCACTGCATATTAGCATAAAATAATGTAAATGTATCAATAATATTACTTACCAGATGGTTTATCAGTTGAAGTTGGAATACTAGTAACTGCAGGCATGGTTGGTAAGGTAGGTGGCAGAACCTTTAAGTTCTGATCACTTTGAATCTCATTAGTAGATATCTGGTTATTAATGCGATTGTAAGTAGGAGGCTGGTACACTTTAATTGGTGGTTGTGGAGTTTGTGGCAGTGGCTTTATGGATGGCATTCTTTGACAATGTTCTTCCAGCTGGGCAATTATTATTGTCTGATTATTGGCGATTGACATCAAATGTTGATACTTGTGCTCTAAGTCTTTGTATTTGTTTGCAAGCTGCAACATGTCTGCAGTTTGGTTCAAAATCTTATTTTCAAGTTGAGAAAGTTCTAAGGCGTTATCACGTTTTCGGATAATTTCATGTAATAGCTGCATGTAGAGTTGTGTGACACGAGAATTCATGTTTCTGCTCTCTTTTCTTAACAGTTTAACTTCATTAACAATTCCACCATCCACCTCTACCAGTTGCTGGAGAGTTTCTATTTGTCTCTTTTGTTTAAGAAGTTCATTGTTAAGTAACTGTAATTCTTGTTTATTTACCCGGTTTTCAAGCAGAATTTCAGGCTCCTTAGAATTAACACAAATGGCACCTGTCACTCTCTGCTGAGGTACGATAAAGGTGTAAGTGCATTTGTCCTGTGTGTCACTGGAACGCTTATATCTATTCATATAAATGAATTCTTGAGCTTTTTCCTTGTCATTGCCTTCAAATTCCTGTGTTTCACCTGTAGTAACTCCCACAACAGTTACTAGTATTAAACAGATGAATCTTGTTGTCATCATGATCCTCTAGTTCCGGTCAAATATTCTTCTGCAAAGAATTTAGTAAAATCTGTTTTAAAATAAATTTAACAGTAATGAGTAGGAAATAAGTGTGAATTTACAAATTATCATCTCTTCTAAAACTTACAAAATAGTACATAATAACCATTTGTACAAATGAGGTCCAGCATCAACTTGTGTTGGTTAAAGGGGACATCATGAGGAGTAGTTGTATCTTTCTATGGTCAGAACTGTAGTTACTAGTTGCTAGTTCATCTAAAGCCTGCCAAGAACGATAAGAAAGTAAGCAATAAATACAAGGATTTTAACATTCCTTTCTTCCAGGCAAGTACCACAAAAGTTTCCAAGATAGGAGTTTTCATTTAAATATTAATTACATTTTCCATTTTTTACAGTTACAAATACAACCTTTAAATGTAAACATAATGTAAGTTAATATATGTATTAATGCTGCTAAAAGTTCTAAAAATATCAAACTGTTAATTTGCAGTATTTTAGAACTGCATATACATTGCAAGACATACAGCTTAGGTGAGATGCAATAATTTTACTTTATTCAGCAGTACTGAATCTCCATTGCTTAAAAAAAAAAGGAAAAACTTATTTTACATTGGTCCTTAATAACTGGAAGTCAAACACTCTACTACTCAGATATAATAGGCAGTAAAATCTGTTATTTTTCTAGACTAGTGGAATTTACAACTGAAACATTTACTGTGACTCTCACTGGAGACACTGTCTCTAAACTCAGCCTAGTCATCCCCCTTCAGAATCCCTTCTTGAAAGGGGAAAAATAGCTGCATATGTGCATGGTGGACAATGGCAATGCGTGGCGATTGAAATCAGCTGGTAGTGTCTACTGGCATACTGCAACAGTTGCCCTGTGGTGAAATTGCCCTAACTTAGTTCTCCATGCAGATTCATATTCAGGGTGGACAGCTGAGGCCCTCACAACCTCTCAAAAAATAAATCAATACCAGAACTTTGTGGGCAACAGTAGACTTGGAAATATGGGCTTAGCATTGTCACTGATGCCAGAAATACTCTGCCACAAACCACTCTCTTATCAGCTACTTGATCAGCACTTTGATGTCATGTATTTCTAAAACCTTTTCATTGTTGATTTTTAATCCTCATGTGTATATGCAACCTAGTTTTCTTAAATAAAACGAATGAAAAATGCAGTATTGGAGTTTTTTCAGTGTATAAAGTCAGATACTTTTTAACCAAGGTAGTGTTGCCGTAGTGTTATTTCTTTGCTTCTAAAATATTTCTCATGGAATAATCATTGAGTATTTAAGTATCTATCACCTTACTGTTTACTCATCTTTGCTACATTAGTTTTTTTAAATTGCATTAAATGGTGATAGTAACAGCTGTGAGAAACTGGAGTGAGTCCAGCTGAGTACACCCAGCATGGCTAGCTGGAGGCTGGCAGACATGATGAATGAATAGTAGCAGAAAGAGAGAGGTTTGTGTAGCCTCCAGGTGAGAAGGTAAAGAAAGACACATGTTCAGCTACTTAAAGGGTGTTTGTAAAGAAGATAAATTCCTTTTGGAAGTGCACAGTGAAAGTATATGGCAGATACAAATTACCTCAGGAAAAAACTGGGTTTTGTTTGAACTTCATTGTGAGGGTGACTGAGGATTGAAGCAGTCACCCAAACAGGTGGTAGAATCTCCATTCCTAGAAATATATGAAGTTTTGATTTAGGTAAGGCTATGAGCAGTCTGATCTAATGCTGAAACTAGACTTGCTCTGTAAGACGAAGATAAGGTCCCACCCAATCTAAACTGTTTTATGATTCTAGGCAGCTGTGGACTTTTAAGAGGTTGTTTTTTTTTTTTTTAAATGTCAAGCTAATGCTGGATATGCATCCTTTATTATTCATACTGAGAAAAGATATGGTTGTCATTTGTATTTTTCTGTTTTTGTGAAATAAACAATAGATGTTTCTGCAAAAGATTCAAACAAAGTGACTAGAACTTAATCCTTCTTAAAATTTTTGGTTATATACTTTTGCCTCAGTTTCTTATTTGGAATAAACTCATTTTAATTTTGCAAGTAGAAAGGAGTTGTGCTGTACAGAACTTTTCAAAGTCTTGAAAACACGTCACATGAAAATCTGGGGTTTGACATGGTTTCTGCAAGTAAAGCAATGCTATTTGGAGTCTTGGAAAATAGGGAACATAAATTCACCCCAGACAGCTTTAACTTGTATAATCAGCATTTGCACAGCAGGTCACACTTGGAAAACCTGGCAGTTTTCTAGGCCTCATGTTCCTGCACAGATGACTGGTTTTGCAAATGTTTCTTGCATATAGGTGTAAAATAGTTTTATTTTGCTGTTGGAATTCTAATATCCTTCCCCCGCCCAAACCTGTACTTATTGTGACTACTGAAAAAAAGCTCTTTTTTCCTCAGAGTTCACTTCTGTCTGTTACAGCATCTCATATCAGCATCTCTCTGCTTTGAGTATGGCTTTGGGGTGCCCATACTTTTCTGAGCTGAAGAAAGAGCAACATGTAACAGATTTTTCTCCTGATCTTTTTAAGAACTGTGTAAGAAAGTAATGGGCCAGAGTTCATCAGCCTCATTATAACATATCATCTTAATGATCATCTAGTCCCACTGCCTGACCATGTGAGTGACCCCTCTCTAGGAAGCCTATTCTAGGGTTTGACCAGTGGTTGCAGATGGCAGGCCACCAGTGAATGACATCAGCATAATTAGACTGTCCTGAAATGTTTCTCTGTCATGATCTTTCCTGCATGTCACCTTTTCTAAGATGTTCTTCTTATAAGAAAAATCAGTGGAAGGAAAGTGACATTGGTTAGAGAATGCCCCAGTACAAACAGAAACAAGAATCATACTGTCATCCGCTGTCCTCCTTCCTGCAGTCTGTATATGATAATTTTGTAAGTCTCTCACTGTTTGTACTTGTTTGGTTAAAAAAAATGTGTCTAGTATGAGGCCTATTTGTTGCATATTGGGAAGGACTGCATGAATAAATGGCATTCCTTCCTTTCTGCAGTTGGATTAAAATGAAGTTCACACATGGTCATTTGAGCAACTCTCAATGATTAATCTTTCAGGGACAAAAAAGCTTTCTGGAATGGAGAGAGTAGGGAGGGAAGCCAGAGAAACCATTTTAAGGAAGGATTTAAGGCTTTTTTAATACCTTCCTCTTTGAGTAGCAGAACATCAGATTCTTAGGACATTACAATTGCTTCCCAGGTGAGAGAAAGATGATATCTGACGTCTAGGACATTAACTTCCAGTTTTCTCCTGTGCCCTGTAATTGCTGATACTCCTTGTACTTGACTGCTGCCATTGCTTGCTGATCATGCAGTTCTTCCTGTTTCTCTGGCTCCTTTCCCCTTGCCCTCTGCCAGTAGCTCTTCTGGAGGGGACTGAGTGGAAACTATATCACTAGGGCCATATTTGTTCCCAGCGCAAAATTCCACTTGGGCAGCTGTAGACTTTTCAATCTAAAAGCACGCTTGCAGGTTTGAGGGAAATTTTCATAATTACTGGAGATACAGCACTGTTTGTCTCTTATCCTCATGCATACTGACAAAACTTCAACACACAAGCATACAGGTGAATGAAGCACACTTATAAAGTAATTATTTTGGTTAAACATCAAGTTGAAGTAATTTCATTATTTTATTTCTAGATTCTGTTCAAGTGCATACTCATAAAAGCACTTTTCATAGCAATTGAGTTGGGGCAAACTTGCCCTAGTGCAGATGTACCTCAGTTTTTTGTATATCTACCCTACTTGGCAGTATATTTCACTTTTTATTGAGGTCAAATACTTTTTTTTATCTCCTGTGTTTGTCTTTTACCAGTATAACTGCATTTGTATGAAAATGTTTGGCAGCATTGTTGTGTGGCATATAATTGTAGCACCTTTATACTCCTAGCCAGCACAAGTGCTTTAGTTAAAATTTTGGCTTGTATACCCGATGTTTGCCTCTATATGTATATAATTGGAAGTAGGTGGTTTGCTTATTCATTGTTTACCCAAGTAAGGATATTTCCATGATCTGGTGACAAAAGAGGAAATAACTTTTCTGAAAGGGATATTGGATGTTTCAGCACTTGATTGCTTTTTCTGTCCTTTAGAGAGAAAATGATAATAAAATCTTATTTTTGGCTTTGCTTTGAAACATTTTTCTGTCCTGTATTCTGTCTTGTTTATATGCAGCTTTTCATTAGTCAAAATGTGTTGCCTTTTTTTTTTTACGAATATCTTGAAATTTATGTACTTCAACAGGATTTTAGTATTTTACAATATTAAATTGTACAAATGTTCATAACGTATTGTTTAATTGCTATTGTGATCCTAAAATTATAAAGGTAAAAACATTTCTACATGAAAAAATTACCATTTGGTAAATGTTAATTTCTATTTTCAAACAGCTTGCCTTAAGAGGGAGCAGTAAAAGTATCAACATCAGCACAATGGTCTTTTTGGGTTTCAGCTACTTATAATTTGCATAATATTGGATAATCCAACCTGTATATCTTTTTTCATTATTTGTTGGTTTTGATGCCATGCCTAGGAGGATCTCATTCTTACTAAAGAGACAGGCTAATTGTCTCAGGTTTTATGAAATATTTTGCCTGTGTGATTCTGTGTACAAGTGATCTGTCTCCATGAGATGAAAAATATGACTTAAAATAATAATCACAGAATCATTAAGCTTATCTGAAAATGCTGCCAGTAGCTTTTCAATGCTAGGGCTGGTTTTTTTGAATGAAATTTGTTCATAAAAGAGACACTTGCCATATTACTCTGGAAAGAAATGTGTATATGAATGCCTGAGTGTATAGTGTCAACACTCTCTCATCTCAATCTCAAGTGGTTTTGCAATGCTGAGTCTTTCAGCCATTGAGAGATTGGCATTTTGTGTCTAGGAGTTTATACTATGTCCTTTTTATATCTTTGCTTTTCAGTGTCCTGCAAAAAGTAAGAGCAGGAAGACTACTGGAAGGTGGCTGAGCACTGACCTTTATTATGTGTTGCTTAACATTACAAGCCCGTTTAAGAAGGAAAGGTTTTGATACTTAAGACATTACCTGTACTATAGCATTTTGGAAAAGTACAAAAGCAAAATAATGATCTGTATGAATCATGTGTGGAATACCTTAACTAAGACAAATATGAAAAGCAATTACCTGGATGTCATACCAGAATAGAAGTTTTGTATCTTAAATTGCATCATTATGGCTTATTTCTACAGATAAGGAACATAGCAGATCCCAGTAGGTAAAAGTAATAGAATTGCTTCTTGCTGCTGCTCTTGTATTTCTATGTATAGTAAACTGCAACAAAGCCAGAGAAACATAGGTGTGACATGGTGATGCATTGATCCATGGACAGGCAGCTTTCGAACATGCGATACGTGGCACTCTCGCTGTCCTTGCAGACTGCTTTACAGAGAAGGCAATTTTCTGTGCTAAACCTCAGACGTTATAACAAGAGCATTTCTGGGGACTTGAGTAGCTATTTGGATTGCAGTATAGTTGAGTTTGCTGCAGAGATAAAAAACACTACCTGTTTCGTTTGTAGAAGTGATAATGAGAACCTGGTATATGAAGAACACAGCAGCAAACTTTAACAAGTTAGAAAAGATTTTTAGTGGCTTGTATGCTGCAGCTGTGGAACTAAGGATGCATTAATCGTTTACTGGGCTATGATAATTATTGTAAACAAGGTGATGCAGTAGGTTTCCTACGTGACTTACTCTTACGCGGAATGCTCAGAAACTAAACTAACGCTGGATTCTCCATTTAAGTCATTGCATCTTAGGGATAACAACTGTTGTTTTTACAATAATCACTGTCACTCAGCCTCCCTAAAAAGGCTCCCAGAGTATTACATACCTTAGAAGTTAATTTCAGGATTGTGGCGTTCATGTCTTTTAGTATTTCTCTCCATTTTCTGTGTAGGGTTGTTTTTTTTTTTTTGTGGTGTGGGTTGGGGCTTTTTTGTAATAGGTGACTTCCATTTAATTAAAGAGTGGATAGGCAAGGTCCAACACTCACCATTTATTTCCATCTCTACATACTGCTCTGGCTGAGGAAGGGTTTACAGTCTAGAGGTTGGATTGTTTAAGAGTTCATGTAGGTCCAGCGTGCCAGAACTGAATGCACTGTAATTACTCTCACACATCAAAGCCTTTTAGAATACCCAGATAGGTGAAAAACACATACATAAAAAGGATAACATACACACACACTTTTGCATAACACTCATATTTTCTGAAATGGCTGCTTTGACTATGAAGAAAAAAATGATACCATACATACAAATGAGCTCATTCAGCTATGCTAGCTAAACCACTGTTAATCACTGTTTTTTGTGTTGTTCATATTTAATGAAACAAAGCCAGGAGTCCTTTTGATGGGCTGTCTTTTCCTCTGTACCTCTGATATGCCATCTTCTGTGCAGAATCCTCAGGCACTGAGGCATATAAAGGAGGCATGTTCACAAAAGGCATAGTGTTAACTAAGACAGCATTTATTCTCTAGAAGATAAACTGCTGTATTTTATTGTGAATTCATACAGAATTTGATAGCTGTGCATTCTAAAGAAGAAACATGAATAGCTAGCAACATATCTTCACTGTTTAATACTTTTGTCTTTGATAATGAAAGGTATTTTTATATTAGTGCAGTTTTACATTTTTATTGCATTATAAAAGCAAATGAAGCAAGGGTGTTGAAAATGCAAAATCCTGCTATGAAAAGATCAGAAGGCTTGGTTTTGCATTTTTATAAAACAAATCTTAGGTTTTTGCTGCTACAGAATCCTTTGATAGCCAGTGCTTGTGGACTTACAGTTAGCTGGCATGTTCCAGGCACCAAGCCAGTAATATGATCTGGATTTCACAACACCATTGTGATAAGACAGACAAGCATGAATTTTTTGAATCTGCTTGCTTTCCTACTCCCTGTCCCTTGTCTTAGAGGTCATGCTCTGTTTTTTACTCCTTTACACGTTTTCTCCCATGGAATTATGTTAAATTATCCTGTCAATTTTTACCTCTCAAAGGTAATCTTAAAACATAATGTGAAATTTGCTCTTTTCTAAGAGGAGGGACGTCCACTGCTGCAGGGTTTCTTTTAGAATAAGCTCACGTCTTAGCTTTTCGATGAAAAGTATTGCTGTGAAAAATCTAGTGATTTGTTTTGTTTTGTTTTGTTTTTGTTTTTTTGTTTTGTTAAAGGAAACAGCAATTCACGGTGAAAATACAGCACAGTTATATGTAGACCACATTTTTCCATGTATTGGAAAAACCTTTAAAGTTGGGCTCTAAGTTTTAAAGTAAATACATAGGAAAGGGCTGACACATAGTAGCATGCAGTGCTAGTTATGAAAACATGATACTGAACTGAATTGAAAAATTTAAGTCCAAACTTAGGGGGGGAATCACTTTTGCAGTTTTACCACTAGTTACTTCCAGTGTAAAAAGTGCCACACTGGCATTAACCAATTAATTCCTTTAAGACACTTGTGTTAGAATGCATTCTCTTGTCAGATTTTCTGCCCACTTAAAACTGAAATTTTAGTTCAAGCACCAGTTCAGTTTTCTTAAAAGGTAATACTTTTTCTAATGAGGGGATTGGATGATTAAGCAGCACATCAGAACGAAAGTGTCTTCATGAGGTCTTGGAAAACTTTTGTTTTGAAATACTATCAGTTGCTGCAAGAAACTGCAGAAGTTTATGTATCTATTGTTGCCATGTAACTTTCTTCAAGTTTTGGCAAAAACTTTAGTTACAAGAAGTACAAATATTCTTCTTGATTACCAAGAATTTTAGTTGTTTGTGGATTGTTCTTTGTGCTTTACTAAAGTTCTGTCATAGATGTGGAATGCAATTACTGAAAGAAAGCACTGCTTTTGTTGTTGCTTCCCTTAACAGTGGCCTCACCTTATTTTCACTTAATCCAATCACTACCAGAAAGTGCTCATACTGTGTGCTCATATGTGTGCATGCACATTGTCCGTAACAGTCTTTAAAGACATTCATATTTTAATAAATGTGACTCATTTTACCCATGAAAAATAGCAGTTAGACCATGTAATACTTTGATGCCTACATGAATGTACTCATAAATTCTAGTTTCTTTTTTAAATTAAGTTTTTGTGAAATACTTCAAATATTTCCTTTATAGACTGTTTAAGTATCAGAAAGTTTTGTATCTCCCTAATCAGACATGAGTGTAAAAAAGACTGAATGGAGGTTTCAAAATCTTTAAGACAGATAGTCCCTCAGAAAATAGTATGTCCTAGAAAAATTCTTGCATGGCAAGTTTAAGGAAGTGTGAAGATCAAAGTTACGCGCAAAAATACGATTTAAAAAAAAAAATAAAATCGTACTCTTGAAAATAATACCAAGGCTTTCACTGCCTGGCACATAATGTCTCAGCTATATTTACAAATTTGATTTTAATATGTGACGGATTTTTGTTTATGCTCGGGGGTACTTTTTTGTTCTTTTGAAGTCAAAAAGCAGGCTTGCTGCTTTATCTTAGGGAGCAGTCCTACTCTGATAAGCTTGCGTGGGCTCCCTCCGTGCAGCGGGAGCTCTGAGCCGCGCGTACGGAACCCGCCGCACCCGTCCGGCAGCCCCCGGAGTGCCCGTCCTTACCGCGGCTGCTCGGCTTCCTCGCTGCGCTCCTCGGCCGCTCCCGTCAGCAGCTGCCGCCGCGGCCCGACCGCGGTGACATCGCCTCGGCGACCCGCAGTCCGCGTGCGCCGTGCTGCGACCAGCCGGGACGTGCTGGGGATTCTTTTCCTCTTCTGCAATTCTTTTTTCCTCTTCTGCGTTTTTCTCGCTCAAGACCGCTCTGGGCTGCGTCCCGCGTCCGAAGCGGTACGTTCCCGCGGGGCGCTCGGCGCTCCCGGCCGTCCCTTCAGGCAGCCAGGAGCTGCCTCATTTGAACCCCTGCTCTTTGTGGCAGGCTTATCCTGGCCGGGAAAGGGGGAGAGAAGGCAAAGCAGCGGCGAGCTGCCGGGCGCTGGTTGGACGGGCGAGCTGCCTCCGCCCCCGGGCAGTGGGGCTGCCGGGAGGAGCTTCGTGCTTCGGCCACCCCGGCTGAGCCGTCCCCGCCCGGGGTGCGGGACCGGCCTCGGGGGAAGCCGAGTTTCAGCCGCGAAACGAGGCTAATGCCGGGCTTAAGGGCAAACTGGGGAGGCCGCGAGGAACGCGGGTCCGCTTTGTTAGATCAAGGGCAGTGAGGGTGGGTAATTGCACGGGACTCGGCCCCAAAATGTCGGGGGCCGGGGGGGCACTTCCTGCCTTCGGATCTCGTCACAGCGTGCTCAGGGATGCGGGGATGGATGCTCATCCCAGGCGCTCGGCGGGCGCCAGCGGAGCCAGCGGATAGCTCTGTGTAGCGCTGAGGGGCTCCTTTCTTAGTGCTTCCTAGGTCATCTTTGTCAGGCAACAGCTCGAAAGCAGAAATAATGGACAATAAATTTGTCCAAATTCAAGCGAGCTCTTAAAACATTCTAATGCAGATTGCAAATTCATTATTTGGCTGAACCTCCGTGCATTTTGAATGATTCTTCATACTTGTCCTGGTAATCTAAAGCCTGTTTCTCATTTGAGTGATGGGAATTCCTGCAATTTTCCTAAAACCTCTAAAAATTTGCCATTATGAAACTCTGCGTGTAGAACGTTTTTGGTTGTTAGCTATTAGCTCTGGGTTTAAAAAAGATTTGTCAAATGAATGAATGAATTTAAAATCTGCCCTTATAACTTGTTGGGAATCCTGCAAAGAAATTAGCAAATTAAAAGTGAAACTTTACAACATAAAAATGGCACTTTTTTATTACAGTTTAGGAAACCAAATGGTTGTTTCAGTCACTGTATATCATTGACATCATAAGAAAGCTGTATTGTACTAATGGGCTGTATTGTAATAATGGGCTTGTTTGCAATTTGTCAGTCAGTTTTGAAGATATTTGGGTTTTGTAGAATTGGAGGAAACCAATATGAGGGCACTTGAGTTAACCAGAGGACAAATAAAGAGGTTTAAAGATACTGTATTAAAACCAGTTCTGTTCAAGTTAAAACATGAACAAGCAGTTGTTTTTATAATGACAGATTATTTCCATCATAAAAGTGAATGTCAGAAAAAACCTCACGTCTAACTATATTACACTATCAATTCAATATGCCTTAGGCTTTCTAAGTTTTTTGTACCTTCCCTCTATGGCCTGTGATTCCTTCAATTTACTATTGTTATGTTAATTATTTTCTATTTTAACTCAGAAGCTTATTCCTTTCTATTCTAAAGAGAGAGGACCACTGACTGGAGTGGCCATTTCAGTGCTAGTTAGGAGCATAGTCTGGACACTTGGGATTAAAGCAGTCCAAAGCTTTTCCAATTTTATACTGTACCAGTTTTATACTGAAAAAGCTGGCTTAATAGAATCAGAAAGTGATAATTCTGTTAATTTTTGACTGATTTAGCAATATCCCCATGAAACTTCCTTTCAACGTATGATTCACACTCCTTCCTTCCCAAGGTGCTTTTTCAGCCTAGGAGAGCACTGCTCAAGGGAGGGAAGTGGCAGCAGGAAGAGCAAAGGGAGTGGGTTGCCATGAGTGTTTGTCAGGATGTTAGAGTGGTTGTTTCCTGTCATTGTTTCCTGATCAGTTTCTCCAGTTCCTAAGTGCTTGTAGAGCTAGATAGGTGATTCTCTAGCTAGATTACTACTTGGGTGGAGTATTTAGTTTTCATTTTAAAATGAACAGTTTTAGATTCTTTGCTTTTATAGGAAAATGCAGGTTTCTAACTTGAAGTTATATCCCACAGCACCAAGGTTCTTGAAAAAAAACTATTTCCTGAGGATGAGGTTGTTGATTTAGGCCCATATTTATAAAGTATCCATAACCACTTTTAAGCTCTTTAACGTATAGTTTAGGTCCATTGATTTTAGGGCACTTAAATAAATGCAGTTAAATGCCTAAAATTTTTACTCAGTGAAGGAGCCTAGAGACTTCTCTTGTGGTGTATTTTTTAGTCATTAAGCATTCTCTTACAGGTAATTATGTTATAAATAAAATATTTGAAAAATCAAAATTAGCCAAACTCTGTTTCTGTGACTGTCCTCTTTGCTGAACAAGAAGCATATTTTTACACAGATCAGCCTTTTGATTAAGTACTGACTGCTTTTTTGTCTCTTAAAAGCTGTCTAAATAACCCATAAGCTTTTGTGTATGGGTTGTTCTAAATAGCATATGACAAAGCTTATTCTTCAACCTGTTGCAGTTTTGTCTACAGGGAAAAAGAGAAGTTGTGCCAACTTGATAGATGACAGGGAGCTTTTATTTGGATATGCCAGGTGTGTATAGCATAACTGAATTGTTTGGATAACAATAGGTGTTTGCTCCTTGGGCAGGACTGAAGAGAAAAAACAGGATTTGCCTTTGTGTGGGCATTCTGCTTGGACCAAATGGGCATACCTTTTCCTTGGATTTGTAATGCTGGGAAGTGCAGTTCACTGGTTTTTTTTAAGAGGCTTTACGCTGAATTATGTGATTTGCAAAAGATTTCATAGTTGATTTCTCCTTCATCCTGAGAATCTCAGCAATCAGCTTGTATTAAAGTCTATGATTAGAGAACAAAACACCCTACTAGCAGAAAGGTACTAACATCCAGTTATTTCTGGCTGTGAAGTCTGACAGTTGTCTTCAGTAGGGTAATGCAGTTGGCAAGGAGTGGTTTGAAAGACTTGGCTTTGAGAAATGAGTGAAAATACTATAAAACATATGGCCATAGAAATTAACTTTGAGTCAGTGATCAGAAATTCAAGGTAAGCAGAAAGAGATAAGAATGTGCCAATCTTAAAAAGGTAAACCTTGAGAAATTAAACAGATTTTTTTTCCAGACAGGGTGCAGTTAAATTGCCAGATTCATTTGCCACAAGATCTTTCAAGCTCAAAAGTTAAAAAAGGAAAAGTGGTTTTGTAGGAATAGCAGGAAAAAGAAAAAATGGATGGATCCAGAGAAAAAACATTGTAAAGAAAAATTACCACCCAGACTTAAACCCGAAAGTGTTTATGTAAGATCTGTCTCAGGAAGTTTCTAACCACTACTTGCTGCTGACAGGAAGCAACATCTGGAAAACAGCTATTGTACCTTTGCCTTTTTCCTATAGTCTTTTTTAAGTATTTTCTGCTTTCTGACATTGGATAGCATGCATTTAAAAATGTTAAAATGCATCACTCTTAAAGCATTTAATCTTCTGTAATGTATTTTTCCTGATTCATGGGAAATGTATTAGGAAATAGCTGGGCTTTGGGGGAAATTGAAAAAAAAAAAAAGACAGTATTCTGGAGAAAATCTGATTTGTTTAGGGGGAAAGCTTTGGTAGAAAGGTCCAGACAGCTTCAGAATTTTTTAGCCTGTTTCAGTGGATAACAAAATGATCTGCACCAGTCAGAGATGATTCACGGTACAGCTTCTTGAATGTAATTCCAGTTGAGTTCTTGGTAACATTTTCTTTCACAAACTGGTATTTTAGTTTGAAAGTTCCTTGAGTTTTGCTGCTCTTATTGATCTGTTTTTCTATATTAGGCTTCATTGCTGTGGTGACAAATGTGGGATGATTAATTCCCGGGGTTGAATAGGGTGAGATTACTCAGGAAAGACTATGGAATCAACATCAAATTTTAATTTTGTTAGTTGATGTTGCTGAGACAGAATGAACCAAAATAAGGTGCCCTCTCTAGCTCTACATTTTTATAAGGTAAATTTTGCTTATATCACATGATAAAAGAGATTGCTTGAAGTACTCACTTTATTCACAGTTAAAATTAGGGTCCATTGTCTGCTTGTATGTGCAGAGCCTTCCTGCTGCAGCAAATTAGTCCATATAACTGCTGTACTCCAAACTCCCCTTCAATAATAGATATCCAGGTATAGGCCAGCGCATTTTTCAAGCTTGTCATAGAACAGTAGAGTTGTGGCTTGAAGAGATCCCTGGAGATTATCTGATCTACCTTCTGTGGAAAGCAGGGCCATAAATTAGGTTACCCAGTGTCCAGTCAAGCCATATCTTGAGTATTTCCAGCAAGGGAAATTGCTGTCCTCCTCTGGGAAACCTATTTCAATATTTAAGTGTATTTGCAGAGAAGAAATTTGCTTATATGCAGATAGAATGCTCCCCCATCACTTCTTGACCTGTTGCTATCACTCTGGAGAGAGTATTTCCATCTTCCCTGTGACTGCTCTGTGTGTACTGGAAGAGCAGTTAGGTTCCCTTCCTGCCTCTTCACTTCTCTAAGCTGAACAAACCCAATTCCTTTAGCCTTTTTTCATATGGCGAGCTTTCCAATCCTGTAATCACCTTGACGGCTGTCCATGGGACCATGTCATAAATGTGTGAAGTCTCTCTTCAGACATTTTATGATGAATACATTGCTGTATGTTACAAATTACATGGTGTTGCCTTAGCAAAGGTTTGTCTTCTGACTTTTTTAGAGTATTCCAATCCTACCAAGGTTAACCAGTATATACATTTGGTTTTGTAGAAAAATTTTCCAGCCCTTAATCCTTGGAAAATATCCAGTCTTCTTGAAACCAGCAATACCACAAAACAGTTGGCTTTTTTGCCTATGAGCTAATCTCCTAACAATGGTGTCTTTGGTTTTATAAACTGCTGACTGTAGTAGTTTAGACTTTCTACCACATAGTTAATTGATAAGTTACTGTCCCTCTGTCCTCTGCTTTGTTTAGTATGGTACAACCACATTACTGTATATAGGAAAATGCTTTCATAAATATACTTGACTACAAATTGGAAATATATCCTTGTCTCTTCTGGTCCTCCTGTCACACCAGTGTCATTATTCAATTTGTGAGGAGCAAAAGTGGAAAATAATTACTTTCCACAGATTCTCTTCTGTTCTGTGTGCCAGTTACTGCATGTCTTGCAGACTCTGCTTCCTGTACTGAAGAAATGCTTTATGCCCAGACATCTGTGTTACACAGCAGCATATGTGCATTCAGGGGCTGTGAATATTTAGAAGTGTACATGATTTTAAGTAGGGAACTAAACTGTTCATTAAAACATTTAGGGGGTTTTTTACCTCCTTTTACACCATGTGTTTATTCACAGTAACAATTCAATTTACCAAATAACTGTGATATTTATTATAGTACATGATCAAAATGTTACCTAAGAATAATAAATTGAAGTCCCCAGGCTTGTGTGAAATACTTCTGTATCAGCTAATTATTTTTTGTTGCAAAGTAGGGAATGTCTGACTGACAAAAATATCATACATCAGCTGTTTCCCAGCTTACTTGCATTTGCAGAATTGCACAGACCCTTAACAGACCACTATGCATGAAAGTATATATCAAATATTGGGGTGGTTTAACCACCTAATTTTTTGTTTGTCAGCCCTACTATTTTTCAGTATAGTTTTATAGTCATTATAAAAAAAGTTTAAAAAAATAAAAAGTAAAAAAGATTGTTGATAATGATGCAAGTTTTCAGTCTTTATCTGTGCAGATGTTTTTTATGATTGGTTTTGCAACAGCGTATATTTGTGAAACAATTTTAGGTGCTTCAAGTTTTGGATTACACCTCGTGCCTGCAAATTGTCATAAACTCCCCAAATTCTGAATTGTTAAGAATAAATGGTGCTGCTCAGGTAAAAGAAATCTGTGGCAGAACAGAAAACTTGAACCCAGGCTTTCTAACTTGGAAGAAAATGCCAAAAACCCCAGATTTCTCTTTGTTTCTGTTACTGCTATTTAAAGTAATACCTGCCCAGCTTTTCTCATTAGTATAAATTTGTACATGTTATTTACTTGACTGAAAGTGTTTTGTCTTTCATAGCATGTTATGTCCGTCTTTCTTAATGAGGAACAAATTGCGTACTGTAGTCGTTCATGAACATTTTAAAGCTTACATGCTCCGGTTCAGGTTCTTCAGAACTGAATGAAGCTGAATAACCACTCATTTTTTGAGGGCTTGGGAGTATTTTTCTGAAGACCTCTTTGTTAGTACCCATCAACTCCAAAGTATGCTTATTTATTATCTGTCTCAGTGCTAGTTTCTCAGAAGCTTTGAGTATTGAATAAAGAAAATAATAGGAGAAGCTTAACTGTAAATCAAGACACAAGTATACAGACTTAGGTTTGTATCCTGCTGAACACTGCAGTTCTCCATAAATATTTTTTCAATAAAATCTAGCCTTGGAAATTGTTGTCTGGTGGGTGGAGGACTCAAAATGTGGCATTGACTGCTACATTTGAAGTTCACTTTTTTGCCATATTAATGTTTTCCTGTCTTTAAACTGTTACTTATATTACTTCTTTGTTTAAACTCTCCAGTAGAAGTTTAAAAGCTTGGTATCACAGGTTTGGTTTTCTTTTGCCAGCTTAAAAATAATTTGTCCCCTTTACACAAAGTGATTTTCATTAATAAATGTAGTCCTGGATTATTTGGCTTTGCTTTCCTTAGCATGTGTTGTTACTTCCATGGGACCATAAACTAATGAACACTGTTGTCTGCATACAATATCCAGCTGCAAAATTAGTTCTGGTGACAATGGAGAAAAGTGAGTATCACTGGAAAAGATACTTGCCTGTGGAAGAAGCTGCCCATGAGCTCACCGTCTGGAAAATATCCCGGTGGCCTCACATCCCAGCTTTTTTCAGTGCACAGTAGCACAAATGTGAGCCAAAGTTTGAAAAGTTAGTGCTGTGTGTTTGCTTTGGCATGGGGCAGCCCTGAGGCTTTCCTTTGAGAAACGGGTCTTGAAGTCTTTTGCTGAAGGGAATAATTTTGTCATTCCTCTGTGCAAAATGAACTGATTCTTATCTATGCCTACGATTGCATCAAATATATAGAAGAGTTTAAAATATCACTGCCAAGATTAAAAAAAAATCATAAAACTTAATTATCCTTCTTGCTTTAGAGGAAGAGAGGGAGAGGAGCAATATGGGAAAGGGGTGGCTTGGTGTGTAATTACAAAAAATGTCTTCTTTTATATTCTAGCATGTTACATTCAGTTTAATTTTTTTGACATCTGTCAGTTTGAGTTTTTTCTTTCTGCACCCCACGACCTACCAATAGCCCATTTCCTTACACTTTTATTTGGAATTTGCAGGGCCTAAGCTAACACCTTTCATCCTTTTTGGTGCTTGTATACCTTGTTGGTCCTCATCTGTATGTTGTCCTGGAAAATAGATTCTTTGTCCTGAAAAAATGCTTACAAGCACTGCTGCAGAGTGGAAATGTGTTTATACCTTTAATATCAATGAGAAAAGCTGCAGACTTGCTCAGAATAGCTGGAAAGTGGCCTTTTCCCAGGCTGCCAGAAGGCATGTTGCAGTGGAGAGGCTATGAGGAAATAGAAGCTTTACAGTCATAACTCTAACTACATTTTGATGTGCCACTTGACAGGAGAGGACAGTGAAGAGCTGCTGTATGGAACCTCAGTCTAGGTATGACCTCTAGGCCATTGCAAAACCTTGGGGACTCAGGATTTGCTCAACACTAAACTGCTACAAAGCCACTCTAATATTAGGGAAATTTGAGTTCTTCCCTCATTCTGAGGTGTAAGTTGCCCGGTCTGTGCTGGCCTTGTGCAGGTGTTAGGGTCTCTCGAGTGTGTGGGATGATGGCTGAAGCAGTTCCCAGTGTAGTTGAAACCCTTGTTCAGATAAAGTTCAGAAAAGGTGAAAATAATAATTGGGTTTGGTTTTCCCCCTTTTTAAGCTAAGTAATACTGAAATGTGGAAACAAAGCAGGACAAAAGTGCTGTTTATATTTCTCTGGTATGATATGTGAAATTTAGTATGAGATATAATAAACTGGTATGATTAATAGCTTATCTTCACAAGAGTGAAAAAGGACAAACAAAGAGCAGGTATTGCTGCCCTTGACAAACTTGTACAAAATTGTCTTCTAATCACATAAAGTCATACTTTTTTCCTTTTTGCCTCTCTGCTTTTGTATATATTTTTATAATCTAGGGAAGCAAATCCCAATTACTCCCTCTTCCTTTAAACTCATCCTTTGGCTTGGAGAATTACTGTAGCTGAGAAGTAGAATCACATTGGCATACTTAATCAGTAGGTCTAAAACTACCAACTACTAATATAAATTACAAAAACAGAGGGGTTTTTGTTTTGTTTTAATAAAAGGAAGCAAATAAAACAATAAGTCAAAACATTCATAACTTCTGATGATACATCATTCTGTCTTTCTAGAGGTAGAAATGTGTAGAGAAAGAAATGAAGATAAGTTGAGAATGGTTTTTAGAAGATACTTTTTGGGAGAAAGCAATAAACACTGCAGGTTACTGTTAAGATAAAACTGTTAAGGTAGTCAGAGTCATATGAACCTCTGGTTTATAAACTGTACTTATATTTATGAGATATATAAAAATATATAAATGTGATTATATATAAAACATATTAACATAATTATATAGCTATATAAATAAATATATAAAAATGAGATCTATTTCTTCAAGAGAGGATTTTTAATATGGGATGAAAATTTTTGAAGGACTGATCTGTGTCATTGCAGAAAGTTAAACTAGACTATAAAACTTGACCTGATTTCTAAGCATCTTTTTTCTTTGTTTTAACTCCAGCATGACTGGAAATTCCCATGGTTTGTATGTTGTTCAGTTGTTAATCCAGCTCTATTCCATTCATTTACAAGGTCTAAATGTCCCTTTTGGTTTTGGTGGGATTATTAAATTACCTTTGGTCTCTAGGGCACTCTTCTGTTTATCATGTCAGTGGGTCTAATGGGCATATATGGTTCTTTCACAGTCCAAATTCACAGATTGCTGTGCACTTGAGAGACAGTTATGGCCTTATGCTTTCCAGGCAAAGCATTAAACAGTTCATAACAAACTGAATTTGTTCTGGCTTGTTGTCGCCTCTTTGTCTGTCTCTTCAGTTTTCAATAACAGGTCATGTGATTTCTTCATTCATTCATTCATCCCTAAGCAGTGTAAGGCTTTTTCAGAATGCATGAATGAATAAGGTAAAAACCTAAAGAAATTAGGTATTGCAACCTGGCTAATGCTGGACCTAACACAGTGTGATCCAACGAGCAATGTACCGGTCAAGATGGTAGAGATCTGAGGAAACAGATACGTGGTGAGCTCAGCTTGAGTGAGAAAAAGTCTTGCAAAGGATTTCCATAAAGTATTCCTAAGTCTCAGGGCAGAAAAATTAATGGAGCTCTTTTCCTACTGGTGGCAGACAAAGGAGGTATTGCAGTGGTCTCTGGTCATGGGAGCCAGCAGCACTGTGTCCCCCCACTGTCAGCACCACTGCCTGGGGCAGCTCTCTCTCTTTTTTTAGTGTCCTTTTTATGGTCCTGCAAATTGCTCATAGTAGGCAGTAGCCTAAGTGCAAAAACGCTTTTCTTTTTAAGGGGTGTCATAGAACTCAAGCAGTAATTATGGAAATTTTCAAAATGCAAATCCCAAGATCTCCTTTCAGCAGCTTCTGGCTGCTGTATTCATTAAAAATTCTGCAACTGTTTCTGTTTGAAACACTAGATCAATTGGTTGATTGATTTGTTTGTTTCAGGAATTTATCTCTTGGATTTAATCTACATAGATTCTGCATACCCTGCTTCAGACAGCATAATGGAGAATGAACAAAGATCCAATCAAATGAACAATATTCTCCGAATAATAGCTGATCTGCAAGTATCCTGCAACTATGGTTGGTAAATGTTGTTATGCCTATCAAGCCTTAACTAAAATTTCTTTAGTGTGAAACTGTGGAAGCAGATTCTGAGGAACACAAGAGGCTAATGTTGGTAGAGTCGAACACTAGTAAGTGGTGTAGCTTCCACTTCTGTGTAGCTTCAGTCTTACCAGCAAATTGGGCAGATAAGCATGTATTTGAAATTGTAAGAGCTATAACAGAGGTTGTGTAGAGTTTACTGTTACATGAGGGGTACAAATGACATTCTTTCAAGTACAGCTGTTGCCTTTGGCTTATATACTGTTTCCACCAGAGGCAATCAGAGAGAATTATCTTAATATCTTCCCTTTACTTTGCAGTGGATACGATGTCTAGAGTGTGGAATGTGTTAATTTGGGTATCATTTTGTTGTTAGCATCCTGGTGATATATTTACAAAATGAAATACAAATATTTCAGTCTACACTTGAGTTGTTCAATATGCTAAGCTTTTGCACGTATGTTGCTCCTGGATGAAGTCAGGAAAAGGAGGGGTTGTTTCTTTTTGTCAACAGAATTTTACTCTAAAAATAATTTCTGCAGTTCTAGCCTGCTAGTGAAGCTGTATATCAATAAATGTGCTGGTTTTGGTGTCTTAGTGAATACTCAGTGTACTCTTGGTGACTTAGCACAACTTTTCATTGGTTAAACTTGAAAGAAGCTGAAAAGCCTTGAGTGCAGCTAAACAATAAAATTCAGAAAATTTAAAGCTGAAGTTTTGGAGAGCTTAAAGAAAAAGGATTGTTAGTTTGTGGAAAAACAAGGTGAGATGTTTACTCTGTATGCTTAAGTATCCAGCTCTTTTTTGTCAACTTCCGTATTTCAAGGTATTTAAAGGTAGGTACTAGGCATAATTACGTATGATTCTGAACAACTAGATCATTCAGGTACCATTTTCTTATTGTGAGTTTCATATTGTCTCTGAAAACTTTGATGACAAAGAAACATCCTTATTTCATTGACCCTTTCCTTTTTACAATTTTGGTAGCTTGCTGCAGTGCTTTGCATTAACTTTGAGTCCTTTGTTAAAATTCAGATGAAAATTAAAATACGGCCTTGAAACAATATTCTGGGATAATGGATGCCTTTAAAACAGTTACCTTTACAAGACCGCAAAACTTTAGTTATGTACTACAAGGCATGTACCTGTCCATGCACCATGTGTCAAGAGGTTTTTCTGTCATTCTGAACTTAGTGTCTTTCATTCTTGATATTCAGCATTGTAATTATTAATTAGTTATTTAACAACTTTTAAGTCTCCTCAGTTCTTGGACATATGAGAAGCACTAATACCTATGGCTAGAGGCTTTGATTTTCCCCAGAACAAGGAACAAAAAATTCAAGCAGTTTTGCAGCAGATAATTTTTTTCCACCAGTGAGATAACATCTAATGAAATCCACCGGCTTTCATGATGATGAAATGTATCTGTATTTTCTTTAACAACTGAGAGCGTCACTTTTACTCAGTAAAGTCTTTAACACCTTTTTAGGGTCAAAGTAGTATTTCTGCCCAATTTACTTTTTAGGGAGGTTCAAATTCTGTTTCCATGAAGGTATCATAAGAACCAGAAAAAAAAATCACCTGAAAAAATTATAATTCTGGATTACATAAATGTTAATGGTTTTTGTTTGTTTGTTTGAACATCCCACAGATTATCTCACAACACTTCCCCATGTGCAAAAGTATTTGAAGTCTGTCCGTTACATTGAAGAACTTCAGAAGTTTGTAGAAGATGACAATTACAAGTAAGTACTGTTCTTTTCTTCAGGCATTGAGAAATGTAACAGAAAGATTACTTAGTCATTAGTTTTATTAAGAGCTGAGCAAAAAGCCCTTGGCTGAAGATGTTTGAAGGTGTTTCTGCTAAGTAAAATCCAGAATTACTGTCTTTCTTTATGACTATAAGCAAATTTACAAAGTGAAATGTACTAATACAAAGTAACAGTTTAGAGTAGATGAAAATCTAGTCTTTATTCTATTACATGATGATTGTGTGCTGGGCATTTTGTTCAGTAACACTAAAGTTATCTCCAAGATGTCCAGCATTGACTCTGTAGTATTATGAATAATACATTGAGAACATCTACCAATGTCAAGTTACTGTTTTTAATAAGTTAATACTTATGATTTGGAGGTTTAAGTTCTGGGGGTTTAAGCATATTAAAACAATGTTTACAAAAGACCCAGAGAAGAGTTAACCCACACAGAGGTTTGAAGCAGATGCCAGAGAGCTCATTGGTCAATATGTGAATGTACTCTAGTTAAAAGTGATAATCCCTGGCCAGTAATTCTGAGAGATCTAGAAAGTTAAGTCATAGGCTAAGGAACTGAGGTTTTAAGTAGCTCAACCAAGCTAGATCCAATGCTATACAATTAGCTGTTGACAAATAGAGTAACTATTTAGGTAAGCAGAATTTGAAGTATTCAAAGCAAACATATGTTCCGTCATACAATGCTAGTATAAAATATTTTAGCATATGTTTTAGAGAGCAGGGTGGTAATGAACTTCCTTAAAACCAGTCTTGTTACCAGTTTTGTTAAATACTTCAGTTAAGAATTTTGTCTCAGAATTTATGTATACTTAGACCATATGCTAATAAAACTGTGATGGAAGGGCTCATTGAAATAGAACGTGGTTTGGACATCGCAAAGAAAGAATCTGATGACTAAAATGATAGTGCCACAAACCCTGGAATGATATATAATTATTCTAACACTAATTTATAGGTGTTGATCAGTAGATAGCTGTCACAAGTGAGATACAGCTATGAAAGGACTAATTCATCCCTACTGCCTATCAAATATAGTGTTTCTATGAAAAAATAGAGTGTTTATACTGCTTCAGAAGAGGCTGGTGAGAGCTTACATGGAGCACTGTATGCAGTTCTGGCCATCCATGCTTGCATGCTTGAGGGTTTAAGTAAATGATGGTCCAAAGGAATGTGTAAACTCCTTTACTCAGTCTCGTGACATTGTATATGTTTCACTCACAGACACATTGTGCAAGAGATGCACACTGACCATGATCAGTGCACAGAGCCTTTGAAAAGGTCAAGAGGTCCAAGAATTTTATTAAGGGTAGTCTGAGATTTAAACCTCAGTGTTGAAATTTAACAAATGGTCTTTATTTACTAATTTTGCACACGCTTCTGTGCTTCGTTAAAGTTGTGAAGACAGAGAAAAATTAAACTAAGCAGTCATTGGTAAAGGTGAAGAACTGTAGTTAGTAGAGGCTTTACAACCCCTGGATTGGATTAAAGAAACTGTTCATATTGTTAAATTTGATTTTTAGATGGAGTTTCCTGATGATGCATCAATTTAACACCATGTATACAACATCTTTCATGAACTGTACTATTTCAGAAAAAATGAATTAAACAAGTGTTTTCCATAAACATATGACACCATCATATAATATTTGTAAAAACTAGAAGTAATTCCATTTTAAATTTGAATATTAATGTAACTTTAGTAGCAACCTTGCTAATAATGCTTGAAGGCATTTGATATATCTTAAAGATCATTTAATCCTTCATTTTTAAATTTTAGTTATTTGTGAGATTAATTCAATCAAGTGTAGTGGTTTTCGCTCCAGGCTTCACTGTGGCAAGGAAAAACTGGAGTAAAGTCACAAAAGGTATTAAAAAGAGGGAAAGATTTGATTCTTACCACAGGAAAGTTGCTACAGCTTATATGCATTGGAGAACTTTGATCTTTCTCTACCATGTTTGTTTCATCAGAATAAAACTAATGAGTTAATATAACTATATATACTAATATAACTAATTAAATATAACTAATTAATAAAATTAATTTAATTAATTCATCAAAACACATCACATCTACCCTTAAAGAAAGCTCTCATTCCTCTTCCATTTTACACTAGGTAAGAAGTTTTTGGATTTTGTTTTAAGTATTTGATTTCACATTTTCCTCTCAGTCAGTTTCCCTTTAGTTTCATAGCATTTTCTGGTCCCATGCCAGGAGAAACTGTAAGCTTTAAAAATGCAGAGAGTACTAAGTTTTTAGAGTGGGTAAGAACCTCTTCTGTCTTTTTCTTTGCAGTGACTGCTCTTTTTGAGCCAGGGACAGCATTAATGCTCTCTGCAGAGAAGTGTGTGTCACCTTTGGCATGAAGAACAGAACTATCTCAGTACCAGGCTGTCAGGAAGAGACGCTTAGATAGTTGTCCTAAAACATATTGGCAGAATCCCAACATGCGTTTTGCCAAATGAAAACCTCAATTACACTGGCAAGGAAAATATGGCAGCCACTTTATATAAACAAAGCTTTTCTCTACAATTTTTTTGTGCCAGTCCAATTGCTTCCTTTAGGTTTGTGCTTGTCAGCAAGTAGGAATGCTCCAAAAAACCCCTGACGATGATGTCATATCCTAAAAATAACAGATCTTTCTTGGTCAGCCCATATACTGTTTTCTGCAGAAGCTGCTCAGTTTTAGCAGTATGTAGCATTGTGGTGCAACGCCACATCCTCTCCTAACCAGACATACCTTGCAACCATTCCTAGAAATTTTTTTGCTGACCTTTTGGCATTGTTAGGTCAGGCCTTGAATTCTCACAGTTGTTTCTTGAGTGAAACCAGTTTGAAGACTGTTATTTGTGTTTCAGTATTATCTGTTGGGACAGGACAGGACCATCAGGCTGCTACCTATGCCTATAATTTGGTTCTTCAGAGCATATTAGGCAATAGACTAATAAGATGACTTACAGAAAAATCAGTTCAAATTTAGGTTCAGATAAGGCAAGATGCTTAAGACAAGAAGCTGTGGGAAAACATTAAAGAGAAATTGATTGGCAATTAAAAGGCTATACTGACTCCTAGCAATGCTGGTGCTATAGAAGTCCTAGCTGTACCGTGTTAGTTCCAGTCCTATGGGAGCAGGTATTAAATGCCAGTCTTAGCACTTAAAGTAAGTAGTAGTACTTAAATTAGTACTTGCAGCAGTGAACCCTCGTTGCAGTTCATCTTCAGTAAGCCTCCCAGGCAGCTGTATTCCCTGGATCTTTTCCACCAAGAGTTGTGGTAAAAGGTGGGGTGGAAGAAAACCTTCATTGTTAGTCTTAGATTCATAGTGATCCAGTGGCCATATGGTTCAGTAGCTGTAATTGTGGCTTGACTGCCTCTACCACAGGACACAAAAATAGAATCATAGAAGCATGGAATTACTAAGGTTGGAAAAGGCCTCCAAGATCATCAAGTTCAACCTTTGACCAATCACCACTTTGTCAACTAGACTAGGTAAACTGAGTGCCACATCCAGTTGTTTCTTGAACAGCTCCAGGGATGATGATTTTACTACCGCCCTGGTCAGCCCTTTCCCGATGCCTGACAACCCCCTGTGTGACAAAATTCTCCCTGATGTCCAACCTGAACCTCCCCTGGCACAGGTTGAGACTATTCCCTCTAGGCCTGTTGCTGGTTGCTCCCCAGCTGGCTATACCCTCCAGTCAGAAAATTGCAGAGAAGGTCCCCCGTGTATCTCTTTTTGTCCAGGCTAAGCTCCACCAGCTCCATGAGCTGTTCCTCATATGCCTTATCTTTTGGGTCCTTTCTCAGCTTTGTTGCCCTTCTGTGGTCATGCTCCAGTACCTCAATGTCTTTCCTGCAGTAAGACTCCCGGAGCTGAATCCAGGATTCAAGTTTTGGCCTCGCCAGTACAGAGGGAGAATCACTTCCCCAGTCCTGCTGGCCCCAGTACTTTTGGTACAGGCCAGGATGCCACTGGCCTTCTTGCCCACCTGGGCATATGCGAGCTTGTGCTCAGCTGTTGTTGACCAGCACCCCTAGGTCTCTTTCTCCTGGACCACTCTCCAGCCACTCTTTCCCGTCCTGTAGCAATGCATGGCGTTGTTGTAACTGAATTGCAGGAACCAGGACTTTGTCTTGTTGAACCTCACATCACTGATCTCAGCCCATGAATCCAGGCCTGTCCAGATCCCTCTGCAGAGAATTCCTACACTCCAGCACATCAACACTCCCACCCAGCTTACTGAGCTTACCAAGAGTGGACTCTATCTTCTTGTCCAGATCATCAACAATGATATTAAATAGGACTGTGCACAAAACTGAGCCATGGGGAACCCCCATTAGGGACTGGCCCCAACTGGATGTGGCACCATTCCCTACCGCTCTCTGGGTCCAAGTCATCCAACTAGGTGTTTCTCAGTGAAGAATGCACCTGTCCAAGCCATGGGCTGCAGCCTCTGCAGCAGCAGGAGAATATTGGGGGATACCTGGGGACAGTATCCTTCCAGCAGAAGCTCCCAGCAACCTACTGTTGCTTGACATACTGTCATAGGACCTACTGTTTAATGCTAGACAGGCAGCCCAGAATGTTTCAGATATGCAGACCATCTTGTTTGGTATGCAAATAATGGTCAGAAATGCCCTAAAGGACAGCTTTGAGGACTGGAGTGCTTTGATGCAACTAATATCATCCTTGTTTCAGCAAAGATTAATAACATGGAGCAGCTAAACTTCTGTGAAAGACTATTCTTTGTCTTAATTTACTTTCTTGATACAAGAAAAATTGAGTAACAGTGGCTGTACTGTCCTAGCAATAGTTCCATCCTGTACTGGAGAGCATACTTCCATGAGAAAGGACTGTGTTCAAGACTGACTCCCTATTTTATTTTCTGCATTATGTTAGGTTCCTCTTTTCCTGCTTGCTAGGAAGGTTACTCTAAAATGAGCTGTATGGCCCAGTAGCAGAGTGTTATTTAAAACTAGGTTGAAATAGAGGTCCATCCAGCTTACTTTCCAGAGCAGACCTGCCCTAACGTGTTCCAGAAAATATTTTGAGTATCAGGCTTAAAAAAACCAGAAATTGTTCAATGATCTTTCTACAATCCAAGAACAAAGCCTTCACATACTCTTCTGCACCTGTTCCTGTAGAAGCTTTGTCTTAATTTCCGATGGGAGATTGGTATTTGTTAATTCAGCAAATCTCTATGCTGATTTTTTTCCTAGAGATTTTACTTTCAATTTTTGTTTGACCTTAGATTATTAATACTAACTCCTCAGTTTTGAGGTTTCAGCTTTTGTGGGCAGTTTCTGAGGCTGATATCTAGGATTTATCCTCATGTGTCTCTTAGCTGAACTCTTGCAGTATAATTTTGGAATGTTGAAATTTCATATGTCAGCAATTAGACCATGCACTAAAACTAGGCTTCCTAACCATGGTAAAACAAAGATTTGTTTTTTTGAAAAGGATTTCTGAAACAAACAAAAAAAAATCCTAATACTACTGTGATATTGGATGAATATCACAGAATAGTGACTTCTGAGATGAATTTCTGATGTTACACAGGGGCCAACATGAAACAGAGTGTCTTTATGCCTTATGAGTGGTTTATTAGGCATGCTGGAACCAAGGTAGTTTTTTATTTAAAGTAATACTAGTGATTGACATTGAACATTCAGCTGTGAGAATGTCGTTAGGTGTGTGAGGATATGGATGATGCATGTTGGTGGTAAGCACATCAGATCTCAAAGTATGCACCGATCTATTGAAAATAACACACTAAGCCTCTCAGGGGCCACACCAGATTCTGGCTCCAGGGTCCTCTTTGGGAAACACTGAGCATGTGTGTGCATGTGTGGAACTTGTGCTGCTCCATGGAAAATGGAGTGTCAGAGGAATTGCAAAATTGAATTTAGGTGGTGGAACACCTAAACAAGCCAGGACTGATTGAAACTGTACTGACTGTCAGTATCTCTTCTTGGAAATAAAGAATGTTTTTGATTGCTTCCAGCCTTCTGGAGGAGAGGGGGAATAAAGGAGAAGGTGACTCAGGAATGACATCTCGTTGTCAGAATATATTCCCTTTTCTCAACAATTTCTTTTAAATATAACATGTCAGCATGAGTATTTTCTATTTACCAAAATACATTTAGGCTTGCATTTATTTGTTCTTCTTTTAATACATCTGTATTTTCATAAGTTGAAAACAGATAAATTGCATTCTAGTTTTTCTGGAAACATTGCAGAATTCTGGCATCATGGAAGTCGACGTCCAAACTGTCAGGGACTTAGAAAGGGCTAAGATTCAGAGTGCAGTTTAACATAACCAAACAGATAACCAACATTATCTAGCTTCCCATATTCTGGGGAGATGACCAGCGGAGAGTGATGTAATCTTACTTGATAGCACTGAAGACTCATTTGTTGCTCTGTTGGTGAATTCCTAAGTGCAGCACAAAACACACATGCTTTCTAAATGGTGTAATCATAGCATAGCTCTTCCTAAAACCTTGTTAAAAACATAAAGGTGTTAGGTTTTTCTTCCTGCTGTTAAGTTCCTCTTTTCTTCCTCACAAGAATAATTTTAGGCAGAAAGAGAGAGAAATAATATAGTGCAAGTAGTTGCATGGAAGTTGATCTCACTTTTGTCACTAAAGAAGGTGTAAGAATGCACTTGCCTTAAATATTCATTAAGGACTTCATTAAGTTCTTTTGTCTTTTTTCCATACTGAAAGAAATTCCCATGTGATCAACATTTGAATCTTGCACTGACTTGTATTATTGTAACTTTCTAGGAGAGTTATGTTACTGATTCCTGGTCACAGAAATCAAGTGGACAGAAAGAAAAGTAGTCTGGAAAGGAATGATTCATTGCCTACTTGAAATACATTACTTTGGGTAGTTAAAAGAATCTAGTACTGTCAGAAGAATAGAAATTCGAAAACATGAAAAGGACTGTAGCTTTGTTACCTGACTTCACACTAAAACATACTTGACAATGTTGGAATATTGTAGAGAAGGAACTGAAAGGTATTCCCAATAAAGAGTAGTAAGGAAAGTGATGGCTGAGCCATACATGATATTTTGAAATGCTGTCATAGGTTTCTCCCTCCACCCCTTTGCATGTTTTTACTGAAGTCAGAAAGCCTTTCCTTGGGGTGCACAGCAAGGTGCTGAAGCTTTCCAGCTCTTGTGTGTGTTCACTGCTGGGCAATGACAGCAGTTGTTTTCTTTGGATTTATGCCTAGTCCATTAAAGTTTACTTAACATTGTAGTCCTTCATACCTTTTTGTCAGACTGGTACAGAGCAAAGGACCCATGAATGTCTAGTTAAGACTGCCTAAACTTGAGAAATGGCAGAAGTGATGTGCATTGGGAGATTTGTTGGAATGCTGAGAGCACAAGAGTGAGTACATAATAAAACACGGAGTGAGGCAGCGTGGCATATAATACTTTCTTCTAATCACTTTCTTTTACTATAAGGTGTTGGTCACTTTGCTCTATTAAGCTTCTTTTCTGTAATTCACAGTAACAAAATAGATATTTCTGTGTGCACATTTCAACATGGTAACAGTAAATTTGCTTTCATGTTTAGAGGGAATAAAATGTTAGGTTTGTATATAAATTACTAACTTTTTGAGTTTGTTTTTTTTTTCCCAAGGCAAAAGACTGGATGAACTTATGTTTTTGAACTGAGAGGGAAGATTAAATAATGAATTCCCCCTCTGCTTTCATAGACTTTCCTCAGTTTCTTTCTTGGTTCTTACAGGTAGTGATTTACTTAAAAAAAATTGTTTTATTCCATCACAGAATAAATAACTACACTTCCAAGACAGTAAAATGCTAGTTAGCACTGCCGAAATAATTACTTCTTCAATTTCTTTCAACTTTTATTGAGATTTTTTTTTTTTTGTTAATTTCTCTAAAAACTTGTTTTTCCAGATTATCTTTAAGAATTGAGCCAGGTAACAGCTCTCCTCGACTGGTTTCCTCCAAAGAAGATCTTGCAGGTATAAAACATCATTTGAAAATTTGAGTAAGGAAATAATTTTAATTACAGAAATCTTCTAGTGAAGTATATAGGAAAACCCGAAGGTTCATCAGTAGCATGAGTCAACAAGAAAGATTGCTGACTTGTATGAAAGCAGTTCCAGTTTCAAGGGATGTCACAGAGTGTTTGCTAGTGTTGGAACAGGTGTCAGAATATGGGATTTTTTTACAAATGCTTGCGTTTTCATCATTATTTAATAAATCAAGAAAAAAGAGCCCTCTTGGAATACAAAAAAAAAAACCAGTGCAGTGAATAACACAGGAAATTCTTCCTTCAGGTTTCTGTGTGATCACATACATTTGAGACAATTTCATTGTGGACAGCAGGAGGACAAAAGATTTGTAGCAACAATAGCTTCTAGAAACATCTGGAAAACTGGAGTACTATCCATAAGTTGACAAAAGCTAATCTGCTGTTTATTGCTGTGACCAGACTAAACAAACATCAGGCTATGTGAAATGTACTTCCTGCTATATGACCTATTAACTCAAAAGCTGTTCTGTTTTAATCTCTTGAACCTGAATGGCCAATTTTCTGTCTCATTATGTAAAACCATGTGTGAATGTAGAAACCCCAAGGAGTCCAGACCACAGCTGACATGCATTTATTTAATTTAATTGGCATTCAAAATGTCTTTTCTTCTCACCAATGAAAGACAAAGTAAATGAGAGTAAGAAAAAGGGAGACGCTAAATATAAAATGAAGAAAAGGCCCATGTGTTTTTCCTCTGCCTCCCAGCTCTTCATGTTGGCTCCTGTCAAATGACCAGCTGTTTATAGGAAACCTCTTGTTTGTCCTAGTATTGTGATTGCTATTCCCAGAGTCAGATAAACATTTGGCCTGGTCTTCAGTTTCTTTAGGAAGGTGCTTTTCTTTTCCCTGCTTAATGCTCAGTATTATTAATTGCTGCATAAAGGAATAGTTCACAGGATATTTTGTCTTTTTTATTAGATGAGTTCAAAAGTAGCTCATAATGAACACTTTCTTCATACAGAAATGCATTTGGAAGTTAACTTCCCCACAGGAGCCATCACAGTGTTGTTCTCGGTATCTGTGTCTGGAAAGGTGTTGATAAGTTACCAGGTTCTGCTAAGCAGTGCCCGCTGCATCAAGGCTATCTCTCCAAACCCAACACCCTGCCAAAAAGGCCAGTGGGCTGGGGATGGGCAAGAGGTTGGGAGAGTACATAGCCAGGACAGCTGATTTAAGCTGCCCAAAGAGATATTCTATACCATATGACACACTCATCAATAAAAGCTAAGAGAAAGGGGGAACGAGGCATTTATTATTAAGATGTTTATCTTCCTAAGCACATGCTACAATGCTTGGGTTAGGCCGTGGCTTCTTATTGCCCGCTGATGGGAAGTAGATGATAAATTTTTCTTGTGATTTCTTTTTCTTCTGCACACAGTGCTTTTTAAAATTAATTTGCCTTTATCTCAGCCCTCAGAGGTTTTGTATCTTATTTTCTTCACCTTGTCCTGTGAAGGCTGGGCAGTACTGACAGCCCATGAAAGTCAACCCACCACATCATCCCACATTTTCTTTTGCTTTTGTGAGGATTTGATTTTTCATACTAGAGACTTGAAACAAAGTCATTGCCTCTCATTTGATTACGTCTTTCTTACATTTATAAAGCAGACAAATAAACTCTTTTTGTTCTCTGACTTTTACTTTGTAGTACTCATGTCTGCATGCTCAAGTCTTGAACTTTGATGTTAACACTTCATTTGTATGATTATGGAATATAATTTCAGTCCTAGCAGCATGGCATGTGATCATCACTGGTACTCTGTGCTGAGACCTTATTAGAACTCTAATGGAAGGCAATTAAAAATACAGTTCCAAAGTTGGAAGCAAGAATTTTGAACTTGTCTGATCTAGGTAAGGAATACAGCATGATACTGCAGTGAGCTCAGCTGGAGTCCACAAAAATTGATTGGGACAATGTTCAGCAGTACCTATTTCATTGAATATGGGATCCTATAGTATCTGGTAGTATTAGGAGAGGGTGAATTTTCCCTTCCGAATCTGCAGTGCCCTTAAGTGCTCTCTAAGGTTGTTTTACTCAGAGTGAGAATTAATGTGATGACTAGAAACCAAGTGCTGAGTCATTCCTATTGCTCCATTCTTCTGTTAGTATTTCCTTCGAAAGCTTGACCCTTTTGTGGACTACTGTATTTATTTCTTGCTCAGCTAGAGAGTTCTCACTTACTGCCAGTTAGACAATGAATGCCATCAGCATTTTGTAATACCCACAGGAATTTTTCAGTGAGCTGCACCTGTGTGACTGGAAAAATGCTACTAAATGGGATCGAGTACATTTTACTGAAAATATATTTTTCTGAAAGGAGAAGATTTATTAAGTAAGTTAGCATAAATTCAAATTGAAATCTAAGTAACCATGAAGGCATCAATTTATTGTTTATTTCACTACATTAATAAATAGGAGTATTGCCATATATTAGTTTTGAGTAATTCTGAACAAAAATACTCAAATATTAGTAATGAGATATTTGAACATGGAGAATTAAAAGTAGCACATTTACAGATATTGCTGTCAATTTTATTTGGATTCAAATTATACCTTGAAATTAATTCCACTTTGGACATTGTAGGTCAGAAGTAAGTCCTTTGCAGGTGGTAAGCTACAATGATGATAGATGATGTCAAAGTACTTTGGGCAGTAGTTTAATGTTCCAGTTAATAGTTTAAGGCATGGGAGTTTGATAATAGTGATTTAAAGTTAAAGGTTCTTAGCCCATAAGGCCAGTCATCAGTTCAGTTGTCTCGATAGTACAAAGGTGAATGCATTACTAATAGCAATAGGTCTAGTTGAGTTTTGCCTGTGACATGCTGCCTCCTTAGAGATCAGCATGTGTTTCCAGAGACAGAAAAAAAGTTCAATATCATTGGTAATAATTCCAAAGCCTATAATGGGATTAAGTGCAGGGAATAGTGTCATCTTTGTGTTCTAAAATATAATTGTATGTGTTGATGATGGAAATTGATTTTACTTGCCAGCACTGCAAATTTATCTTCCACCCAGTTTTCTCTCTTTCAAAAAAATATTAACAGTTTACTGTAGCCAGAGACATTGTGGGTTTCTTTTTTTCAGTTAAGTCCTGCAGCATTTCTGTTTGCAAAGTGCTGGAGAAAACCATGTGTCCATTTTCCACTTCTTTTGCCAACTAGTTTTCCAGTAAATTCAAACAGGAGGCAGGCATCTGATTAAAGTGACTGTCTCACAACAAGCTATGTTTTCTATATTAGTGGCTAAAAGGACCTCATTTAATTACCAAATGCATATATAATTGTGAATAGTGCTTCCACAGGAAGATTTAATGTCTTCCATAATGCTGCAGATTCTTGTCCCTCACAAGTATCATTTAAGAAAGAGCTTTAAGCAGTTAAGTTGAATGCTTTCGGGAACCGTGTGATTCACACAACTTCCTTGGCAGCAGCTTAAGTCTGTTCATTCTGCCTTGCTGTGGTTTGAGAGAGAGAGAGAGAATGCAGCTGGAGAGCTTATAGTATGCTAACTGTTCACAGTTTCTAGTTGAATTAGCTGTAAAAGACATCTCTGTTCCTGCAGTGTTAGCTGAAAGGTGCTTGTCATTTATGGTATGGCTGTTAGGTTGTTTTGGAAGGTATAACTCAATAGAATTTCCCAGAACAAAGGAAAAGAATTAATGCAATATACGGTAAATGTAAGCCTTCTAAGCAACTGAAGTTCCTCAGAATCTGCACACCCAAGTGTAGCTCGGTAGAGAAATGTTCTGTTATGCATACTCTTTCTCATCATGTTATTTGGAAAAGTTCAGGGTGCAGTGCTAAGCAGAACATACAAAGTGGTTCACTCATTCTCTGAAATATAGCATATTTACTCTGTCTTGAAAAACTATATAAAAAGTTCAAATAATGGTAAAATAATTACCATATCCAGAAAATTGTATCTAATACTAAGTGACTCAAAGACTGGTCATAACAATTCTGTGATTTTTAATGAACCCCTTCATTAAAATTAACACCTAGCATTAAATGTTAGCAACAGCCAGGCCTCTGCTGTGGGTAGCCCTTATTTTGGGGCATTTGTTATCATTTGTTATGCAGTAGTCAGGGATGGAACCTCACCCCCCCGCCTTTTTTTTTTTTTTTTCCTTTTTGTTTTTTCCCTCAAGTAGGTCTTGGTGTAATTCTTGAGGGGAAAATAATTAGACCAGAGGTTTTCTGTTACCATCATACCAGGAATGTGGAATAATTAATCTGAAACAGGTATAATCTCTTCTTTGTTACTCGGGTAAAATTCAGCCCATATTGCCAAGTCCATTCAGCTTTGAGAGCTAGCTCATAACAAACTTTTAGAGTATATATTTTAATTAATTAGAAGAGGTCAATTATTGGATGTAGAGTATGTGATATATAGGAGTTGAAAATCTAGAAACAGAAGGAAGAAAGACTGGGGATGTTTGCATATTTGTAACCCTCTGAACTAACTATACTACATTAGTGATATCTCTACAGCAGTTACAGCATTTTATAATGAAAAACCCCCACACCATCATTTTCCATGTAAACACTGAGTTTGACATTTAGTTTTGCCATTTGTTTTACTGGTTGCTTTGGCAACTAATAAATAGTTTGTGTTAAGTGCTTTAGCAGCTAGTCATTCTGTGGAAATGAGGATTGTCTAATCCTTGTGCAAGTTCTTGGTCATTGCTTCATGTGCACCATGTCTGCTTTTCTTACACAGGACTTAGGGTAGAAATGGGAGAACTAAGTTTTCTTCACATAAATTTACAGATTGTGCAGAAAACTTTACTCTTTGGTTTACATTCTCTTCCTCTGTGATACTTTCCTGAGAAACTTTTACAACTCACTGGAGTATTTTTGAAACAAATCAATACCAGACAAATCAGTGGATTCACATGTTATCAACTACTAAATCCAGCTGGAATT